CAAATCTTGTACAAAAGAGGGTTAACTTTGAATGGACAAAGGACTGTGAAAAATCCTTTCATAAAATCAAATCTGTCCTTATGAGCAATCCAGTTCTGTCGACTCCAGATTTTTCTAAGCAATTTAAGTTAACTGTTGATGCTAGTGATGTTGGAATCGGGGCAGCTTTGTTTCAAGAACATAGTGATAAGGTAGATAGAGTTGTTTCTTATTTTTCAAAGAAACTTACAAAATGTCAACAAAAGTATTCCACCATTGAAAAGGAATGCCTTGCTTTGTTGTTAGCCTTACAGCATTTTGATGTTTATCTAAATGTTACATTGCATCCAATTCTTGTATATACTGATCACAACCCCCTGATATTTTTGCATAAATTGTCAAACAAATCAAAGACTGACTAGATGGAGTTTGTTGTTACAAGAATACAACATAACAATTAAGCACGTCAAAGGCAAAGACAATGTTATTGCAGACGCCTTGTCCAGAGTATCATGAACAAATAAGATTTGTATTAATATACATATATTTTACTTTAACAATATAAGTTTTCATTGACATTCAAACTTTTTAAGGGGGGAGGTGTTGTGAGGTGTGTTGTATTTGTATTGTTTCATCATGTATATTATTAGTAACATTAAGTTTCTTGAACATTCCAGAGTGGTCAACATGTTCGGTCATTTTTTCTAGAACATTCTTGAACTTTGTGTATGTCCAGAACTTTCCAGTAATATCATGTACTTACAACTTCTAGAATTTTCTAGATTTATAGTACTGTATAAATACCATGTCAATTCGATGCATAAACAATAATTTGTCGTATAAGTGACATTGATGTACAGGTGTATAAAGAGACTGGGATATAATTACACTGGACATTGTGTGCAGCAACGGACACTCTGATGTATGTATTTTTAGATTCTAGCTAGGTTTGTACTTTATGATTTGTATATATTAATGTTAATAAATTATTGTTAAGTTTAAATTCTGTGATTGGTCTTTGCTGGCATTTAGGGTTATTCTGACCCATAACAATTGTATTAATAATTTAGTACTAAATTATTTAGATAGAACATTTTTAATTAATATTAAGAATTTTTCTTGGCATGATAAGAAATCTTTTCATCGTGTAACTTGAATCTTTAAACAAAAATGTTTTACATTCCTTCTGAATATATATCAATGAGTATAGAACGCATTGTGAACGTATTGTGAACGCAGCCAGCGCAGTGAGAACGCCGTGAACACGAGGTGAAAACTCCTAACGCGCCGTGAAAACTCCCCGGAAGCGCAGTCAATCACCGAGAGATCTCCGTGGGAACGCAGTAGAACGCCGTGAGATCGCCGTAGGATCGCGACCGTCGCCGTAGGAACGCCGTGACATCTTCACATTGTGAAAATTTTACAGAAATTTGTACAATTTCCCTGCGATTCCACGGCGATTTTAAAAATTTAACAACGCCGTAATGACTCCGTGTGAACGCAGTTCGGTGTGACAGGGCCTTTACCGATCCCGGATATTTAGCAATTGCAATTTTAAATAGGAGTTATCTCGCTTAAACCACTGTAGTTTCACTTAAAGGGCGACAACACAGTTGTAACCCGCATGCTCGCTTACGCTTTTTCACTGTCATCTGAAGGGAGATAACAGTTGTCTCCCTGTGCGTGAGGGAGACATCACGAGTTGTCTCCCTGCACGTGACCTGCTCTAAACCAATCAGATTGACTGTATAATTCTGAAGGATAATATTATAGCGTTACTAAACATGATAAGTAATTTAGTGTTGTCTAGATTTCATATTTGTAACAGTGGATTATTTCATAATCTGAGAAAATTCGGTCCATTGCATTTGAGATTATATAAATATTGTACAATTATTGCTGTGTTTTGAGGTCAATACAATGATTTAGCCATCTGAGGAGTACAATATTCACCGAGCCCGGAGGGCGAGGTGAATATTGTACTTCGAAGATGGCTAAATCATTGTATTGACTGAAAAAAAACAGCAATAATTGTTTTATTATATGATTCACTAATAAAAATGATAAAACCCATTACTTGTTTGCATTTAATTAAGTCCCATCCAAATACAATTTAGAGAAGCAGAATTAAAATGATAATCAACCTTACAGGTCTTATTTACTACAGTATTTATTTTTTTAAAAGTTTTTTTTATCAATTTTAGTTGCCATGAAAAAAATTATGTCAGTCTTTTTTCTAGGATAGATTTTTAAAGGAAGGATTGTTATCAGGGAAAACTGACGGCCAAAAAAGTAAAAATTGTTGTTCAGTTAAAGTGTTGGAGGGGTGTCTCTGCATCCCCTCTTACCACCCCCACCCGAAAATATATATTCGCTTATGTTTTGTTCACATGAAAAAAAGTCATAGTAGTTTAAATGGCTTTCCAAAACAATTTGTATCAATTTGGAATTTCCCGATCTATTTTTAGATCAATGTAGAGGAAATAAATCCTTGTATTGACCTGGAACGTCACGTGCAGGTCAATACAACGTAGTATTTCTCTAACATAGTTGGATCTCAGCCAATCAGAGAGGTGGAGATTATTCAATCATATAATAAACTAGCTTATTTTCGTTTTCCTTAATATTAAACTTTTAGCAGCTGATCAACGAAGGTGCGATTATTATTTGTTGTTTCAAACAAGGGATTTGTAGTATTTTTGTCTACATAACATCGTACATATTTATTTTTCTGGGTATTGCATGCTCAGTCTTTTTTTATAACAGCGAAACTATTCCAGAGACTTTAATTACTCCCTGTTTTGCTTTCGTTTTAAAGTGGATAATTTATTATTTCATTTCAAGTATCACTGGAAAAGAGATATCTCTTTAGCTCAGAAAGATATCCCTTTTTGAAAATCTAAAGAGATATCTCTCTAACTGAGAAAGGTATCTCTTTTAACCTTGTTAAAGAGATATCTCTCTAACTTTAAGAGATATCTCTCGCGTTTAAAGAGATATCTCTATAACTTGTAAAGATATCTCTCTAGTAGATGAGATATTTTTTCATTAAAAAAATCTCTTTTGTTTAAAGAGATATCTCTCTTGTTTAAAGAGATATCTCTCTAATGTATAAAGATATCTCTATTAGTCAAAGAGATATCCCTATAAACTAAAGAGATATCTCTCAATGCTAGAGAGATCTCTTATTGAAAGAAAATTTTTATTTTACGAATAAATAGTAAAAGGGCTTGCCCTAAAATTATTCGTCGGTCGTAAACTTTTGAACATTTTTAGCTTATAAACTAAAGAAATATCTCTCAATGCTAGAGAGATCTCTTATTGAAAGAACATTTTTATTTACGAATAAATAGTAAAAGGGCTTGCCCTAAAATTATTCGTCGGTCGTAAACTTTTGAACATTTTTAGCTTCTTCTCTAGAACAACTGAACCAGTTTCAACCAAATTTGGTATACAGCATTGGTTCTGCATCTATGGTTAAAGGAAACAAAAATTGTGAATTTCATAGTCCCTGCCTCCTTAGGGCCTGAGAAGTGGGGCTTAAACCACTAAAATTAATGCAATCTTTAAAAATCTTCTTCACTCCTGGACATTAATTATAAGCAGTCAAAATGTTAGCATGATTGCAATAAGCAGTGATTCCTCTACCAGAAATGTGAAAATCATGGCCCCAGGGTCAGGGGTAATAATGCTAGGGTAGGACTAAAGTGAAAATGCATTAATTATTTCTAAAAAAAAAATCACCTCCTCTGCTCCTGGGTATTGAACAAACTAACTAAGTACGTAGTTATGATGACCAAGAGTGCCTCTTTGAAAATTGTGAATTTCATGGGTCAGGGACTCAGCGGTGTGTGATAAGCGAATAAAATTTGTACTTACATGTGCTTATGATGAGGAAGGATACCTCTTCCAAAATTGTGACTTGCAATGAATTTCGTGGCTTTTGGTTTAAAAGTTAAAAGATGAACCAAATTCAATTGTTGGAAATTGTTACGTGATACTCAGGTGACCTATAAGGCCCGTGGGCCTCTTGTTTTTTTTTTTAAAGTCTCAATTTTATTGTCTTTGTTGAATAAATCCCAAACTAATCACCATTTGTCCGTCGGCCGTCCGTTAGTCTGTACATTTTTTTTCAACTTCTTAAGAATTTCTGGGCAAAATCAATAGACACATTATATTGCTCCCTTGGCTTGATCAATTCACAAGGAGAATTAAGAACATGAAAGGTGAAAGGTATGAATTTTTTAAAAGAAGCATTGAAAGTCAACGACTACCCGGGTAACCCCAACCCCCGCCACTCAATTTTTTTTTTACATTTGAAAAAGAATTAAGGTTTTTTTGTTTTGTCTTTTTTTTTTTTTTTTTTGGTTGTCAAGAAATTTCTGGGGTGATTTTATTTTCGATTAGGGTTGAGCCCCCCCCCTTTCGGAAAAAAATAATCCTGGATCCGCGCCTGCAACCTTATTTAGCATAGTGTTTCGGGAAACCCGTGTTTCGAGGGCAGGATCCGTAGAACACTTGTCATTTTATAAATAGAACTACTCTTTTTAACGTCTTCCTAACCCTCCCTGGTTTTCGGCCCATAATTCTTGCCTCAACGCGCCCTAAAACTTCTAGATCCCCCACTGACAGGCAACAGTCTCGTTATTAATATATTGATCTAGCTCGGTCATTCAAATTTTGTTTTCATAACACTACGACTCTGTATTCATTTTATTATTTTTATCTGTGAAGAGGGGGGGGGGGGTTATATTGACAAAGCCCTTGCGTGGTTGGGCGCGCCAAACTCAACCTTGTGAAACATTACAGTCACATGCACGAAAATGTAAACACGTGCAGACAGCGCCGTCAAACCTCGAGTGTTTCCGGGGAAATGTTGGACCTTTAACCTCACTAAATCGTTTTTGTGTCCTTTACCGACTTCCGAAATGAGTGCATGTTCGGGAATATCCGACGATCTGCGGAATCAGCCGAGGTAAACACGACTGCCATCCACCCGATCCACCCGTGTATGCTTAAATGTAAACACCGACAAGCCGATTTTATAAAACTCGAACGTTGATCAGTGTTGTTCGATCTTTTGACAGGAGGCACGATTCCGTGTTTGAGGTATGACTATATCATATTGGTTGTTATGTAAGCTTTGATCAATCATTACATGTAAGCTTCATGTATTTTATTCAAAATTGAAAGTGCGATGTGACTGATGCAACCAGGATTAGGCCTCTATTAAAATTGTCTGTAGACTGACTTATCCTTCATTTGAATGGTCATATGTTGTCGAATGACGATAAACTATCAGTCGAAGTTTGTTTATATATTTAAGAAAACTGCATGTATGGGGCCTAAATAAATTTTGATACAGTATAATGTGAGACTGAATTATAGGCCTAATGATTTTCCCATTTTTAAACACTGTTAAACCTTATGAAACTGGCATGGAATGTATACTTATTTAAATATATAAACTTTATAGGTCTGATTCCCTACATATTAATGATTTATGGCTTCTTTTAATTTTACTACCAACATAAATGTGCGAGTAATATATCAATAATGTTTAACTAATTAGAATAATCTAACTGTGTCTCGGTACAGGCCCTCACCACAGTTAGAATACGTCCCATATACTTGTAATGTAGCAAATCGGAGCGGATCCGCTCCGAAACGATTCCGTAGGACAATATCATTTTAACGATAGAACATTCTATCTAATGTTTAACATACAGGCTAGTAAGAAGCAATCTCAGGTTTGGGTGGTAGGGGCACTCAGCCGTTTACATTTTCAGTTGAGGGTACTTTGAACTAAAAAAAATTCCTGGACAAGCAAAAAAGGTCATTTACTGGGTATACATTGTAATTATTACTGATCAAGGGAGCACAAGTGCACATGGTAGCTTTGTTTTCCTAAGTGGTGTATATATTGGCAAAATTATGGGGGAGGGGGGGGGTCTCATGCTTCTGGTTGCTACGGCCATGAATTATTGGTATTTCAGATTCACATACCAAATTTAATTTTGTTAAAAATGAAGGTCATTATCAAGCTCAGGGACAATAAAATTTCAAATGAGCTCATGCACTTTGATCTTGATCTCACTTTAATTTACTAATCATGCTAATAGATTGCATAAGGGGAGGTAAGTCTGAGATTAAAAGTGACCTCAAGTCTTATGCTATGGCTCTGACTTTGAGCCATATGAGCTCATTTTTGCGTCTAATAAGTGATTTCCTTCATAACATCTTTAACATGCCAAAGTTACAGTGAGATCAAACTTTTATTGTAAAGTCTAATCAATGCATAATGCTTTGCCCCCTTTTGGCTTCTAAGTTATAAATACAAGACTTAGCTTTCTTCAGGACCAATACTGGGTTCTTGCTGTGGCACCTCAGACCCCATGCCATGCTCTGCAAACTCTTTACTTTCATTTTGCGTGTGGATCTGTTTATTTTCAAACTCGGTTTACTTGTCACTGTTTTTCCAGGTGTAAATGACACAGATCTAACAGAACAGGTCATGTCTACGAAAAAGGTAAATGGAGTGCACACAGTGGACTTCACCACTCAGTCCTCCATCATGGAGACGAGGGGATCGGTTATCAGTGGTCACAATGTGGTGTACTCTGTGGACGTGAGGAAGGGACCCTGCTGCTGTGGGCAGGTCACACAGAAACAAATCCTTAAGGGAGTAGAGTAAGTCATCCTCTAATCAGGTCACATTATCAGGTCACACAGAAACAGATCCTTAAGGAAGTGGAGTAAGTCATCCTCTAATCAGGTCACATAATCAGGTCACACAGAAACAAATCCTTAAGGGAGTAGAGTAAGTCATCCTCTAATCAGGTCACATAATTAGGTCACACAGAAACACATCCTTAAGGGAGTGGAGTAAGTCTTCCTCTAATCAGGTCACACAGAAACAGATCCTTAAGGGAGTGGAGTAAGTCTTCCTCTAATCACACAGAAACAGATCCTTAATGAAGTGGAGTAAGTCTTCCTCTAATCAGGTTCACATAATTAGCTCACACAGAAACAGATCCCAAAGGGAGTGGAGTAAGTCTTCCTCTAATTAGGTCACACAGGAACAGATCCTTAAGGGAGTGGAATAAGTCTTCCTCTAATCACACAGAAACAGATCCTTAAGGGAGTGGAGTAAGTCTTCCTCTAATCACACAGAAACAGATCCTTAATGGAGTGGAGTAAGTCTTCCTCCAATTAGGTCAAACAGAAACAGAGCCTTAAGGGAGTGGAGTAAGTCTTTCTCTAATCACACAGAAACAGATCCTTAATGGAGTAGAGTAAGACTTCCTCTAATCACACAGAAACAGATCCGTAATTGAGTGGAGTAAGACTTTTTCTAATCACACAGAAACAGATTCTTAAGGGAGTGGAGTAAGTCTTCCTCTAATCACACAGAAACAGATCCTTAATGGAGTGGAGTAAGTCTTCCTCCAATTAGGTCAAACAGAAACAGAGCCTTAAGGGAGTAGAATAAGACTTCCTCTAATCACACAGAAACAGATCCTTAATGGAGTGGAATAAGTCTTCCTCTAATCACACAGAAACAGATCCTTAAGGGAGTGGAGTAAGTCTTTCTCTAATCACACAGAAACAGATCCGTAATGGAGTGGAGTAAGTCTTCCTCTAATCACACAGAAACAGATCCTTAAGGGAGTGGAGTTAGTCTTCCTCTAATCACACAGAAACAGAGCCTTAAGGGAGTGGAGTAAGTCTTCCTCTAAGCAGGTCACATAATTAGGTCACACAGAAACACATCCTTAAGGGAATGGAGTAAGTCTTCCTCTAATCAGGTCACACAGAAACACATCCTTAAGGGAGGGGAGTAAGTCTTCCTCTAATTAGGTCACTTTGAAACAGTCTGATTCTTAGAGTTAGGGGTTATTAAGAAGATAATGTGTAAGAATTATTAACAAAATAGATAATTAACCAGCTCACCAGGCTAACCTAGCTGCTCTGTATGAAAAACTAGCATAATTATTTAAGGATAGACTCTAATTCTTGGCCAAATTATTTGATATAATCTGGTTTGGGTCAGTTTACGCTTTGTAATCTGCAAAGCGGATTATAAAAAAGCGTAAACTGACCCAGACCAGGTTATCATCGAATAATTTGGCCAAGAATTAGAATCATTCCTTATAATTTAATTTTAAAATAATTAAACAACTGTGGATGTAAAATTGTGCTGCTTTTTAGCTCACCTGAGCCGAAGGCTCAAGTGAGCTTTTCTGATCAAAATTTGTCCGTCGTCTGTCGTTGGCGTTGTCGTTGTCGTTGTCGTAAACTTTTCACATTTTCATCTTCTTCTCAAGAACCACTGGGCCAATTTCAACCAAACTTGGCACAAAGTATCCTTGGGTGAAGGGGATTCAAATTGTTCAAATGAAGGGCCACGCCCTCTTCCAAGGGGAGATAATCATGAATTAGTGAAAAATTAATAGCATTTAAAAAAAATCTTCTTCTGAAGAACCACTGGGCCAGGAAAGATGAAACTCATGTGGAATTATCCTCAGGTAGTGTAGATTCAAATTTGTTCAAATCATGACCCCCCGGGTTAGGGTGGGGCCAAAATGGCCGACCAAAGTTTTACAAAGGAATATATAGGAAAAATCTTTAAAAATCTTCTTAAGAACCACTGGGCCAGGAAAGATGAAACTCATGTGGAATCATCCTCAGGTAGTGTAGATTCAAGTTTGTTCAAATCATGACCCCTGGGGCTAGGGTGGGGCCAAAATGGCCGACCCAAGTTTTACATAGGAATATATAGGAAAAATCATTAAAAATCTTCTTCTCAAGAACCATTGGAATTGGAAATTCATCAAACTTATATGGAATCATCCTCAGGTTGTGTAGATTCATATTTGTTCACATCATGACCCCAGGGGCTAGGGTGGGGCCAAAATGGCCGACCAAAGTTACATAGAAATGCATAGAACAAATCTTTTAAAATCTTCTTCTTCTTCTTAAGAACCACTGGGCCAGGAAAGATAAGACTCATGTGGAATCATCCTCAGGTAGTGTGGATTCAAGTTTGTTCAAATCATGACCCCCGGGGCTAGGGTGGGGCCAAAATGGCCAACCAAAGTTTTACATAGATATATATAGGAAAAATCTTTTAAAAATCTTCTTCTTAAGAATCATTGAGAAAGGAAATATGAAACTTAAATGAAATTATCCTCAGGTAGTGTAGATTCAAGTTTGTTCAAATCATGACCCCCGGGGCTATGGTGGGGCCAAAATGGCTGACCAAAGTTTTACATAGGAATATATAGAAAAAATCTTTAAAAATCTTCTTCTCAAGAACCAATATGCCAGGAAAGATGAAACTCATGTGGAATCATCCTCAGGTATTGTAGATTCAAGTTTGTTTAAATCATGACCCCCGGGGCTAGGATAGAGCCAAAATGGCTGACCAAAGTTTTACATAGGAATATATAGGAAAAACTTTAAAAATCTTCTTCTCAAGAACCTTTGGGCCAGGAAAGACGAAATTTATGTGGAATCATCCTCAGTTAGTGAAAATTCAAGCTTGTTCAAATTATGACCTCTGGGGCTAGTTTTGGGCCCAAAATGGCTGACCAAAGTTGTACATAAGGATATATAGGGAAACCTTTTAAAATCTTCTTTTCAAGTACTTCAAAGCCATGATTAGTGATATTTTTCTATTTATATGGAATCATCTTCAGGTAGTGTAGATTGTACATTGTTCAAATCATGACACCCAGGAGGGTTAAAATTCAAGCCCCCCCCCCCCCCCCCCCAGTAAACTTTCAGTTTTGATCTAATATGTGCTTTTTCCTAGTCCTAGTAGATGTGCTCAGGTGAGCGATGTGGCCCTTGGGCCTCTTGTTATGAGTTCAAATTTGCCGCTCAATAATACAACCACAAAATTAAATTAATTTAAACTTTTGCTATAATCTCAGTTCAAGATGGCCTCCTTGGTCTTTCAGATTACGAAAATTTGAATTCCTATATTTAAGCAAATTAAATGTAAATTTTCTTAGACATTTTTGCTTGAAATAAATTCTTTTATTGCAAAAATAAATTTTTACTGATAAATTTTTATTCAAAATGTAACATTTAGTAGCTAAAGTATAGCTGTCTGTAAAATGTTTTACTGCTAGGTTGGTCACCAAAATCTGATATGCATCAAAGCACTTAATGCTTCCTGCAATAATTAGATTAGAAAATTATTGGATGAGCTATTGCTCTCTTTTTTCATTTCTTCATTTATCCCCATTTTATGCATACATCCAATTAGAAGAATGATTACAAACAGTGAAACTGCAACAAAAATTCTGGATATATTAAAACTTTTTAAGATAATAACTGTTCATTGAGCATTGGTGAAACATATTAACTTGTATTTTATTACTGCTGTTGTACATTGTAGTTGTATATTCAAACCTGGAATGAATGCCATATTGGGTCCAACAGGAAGTGGAAAGTCCTCGTAAGTATATATACAAACCTTGGTATACTTAAAGTACATGTATTGGGTTTTATTAATGTATACATGAGCTTTGGTTTAATTATAGTACATGTATTGGGTTTTAATTATGAATGTATACATGAACTTTTCTCCAGTCACTAGGTACAGGAATATCTAACATGTCCAAAATTTTAAATTAATTGGAAATTATGCAGAGATGCTTTTATCTAGTTCCTATATCAAATGAATAAGAGATTGGGAAGTGAATCAGAATTCAATTAAAAAAAGTAAAATTGTGTAAAGATTAATGTCTCCCCAAGTCAAAGTGGAAGGCAGTTCTTTAGCAGTTTTTTAACCTTAACAGTTCAGTGCTTTAGCAGTTCTTAGACAGTTTACTAGCCTTCTCCTCTGTTGGTGGCAGAAGGTTTTTGTCATACTGATCATTAGGCAGTTTTCTTAGCAGTCCACAATTTAAGCAGTACTTAGCCAGTTCATTAGCAGTAACTTAGCAGTTGCTTAGCAGTTTCCTTAGCAGTATCTTAGCAGTCAATAGGAAGGTTAAGGAGAACTGCTTAAAAACTGCTTAATAACTGCTAAAGGTGTTTTCTTTTGTTTGCTCTACTTATATGGAAATGACTCTGAGTGACCTACATATAAATTTGAAAATTGATTAACTGCTTAAAAACCGGTAAAAAGAATGCTGTAAGTACTATTCTTGTTCTACTTATAAGAAGATAACACCACCCATATACATGATATATGAATACAAAAATGCATTTAATTTATGCTATTGAAAAATATCATCACATATGGGAATTTAACTTAGTATTGAGATTTAGATCAGGTATGAATTGTAAATAAGTCCTTTCATTAAGTCCATTTTCTTGCATAAACGAGTGGCAACTTTAGAGCTTGGTTAATTAATACAGTGGACTAATCTACAGATCCCTCTATCAGTAGCTTAAATTTATCTTCAAATATTTTGAATTTATATTAAGCATGTTAAGTACTAATAATTAAAATACAAACTAGATTATACAGTTTATAGTTTAACAGTTATCCAAATGAGAGTGGGGTTGACTATTATATATATCACAAGCCCACACACTTACCATATTTTCTGAAGCATAATACTTTACTGCCAACAAATCTTTTAAAAATTTTCCTATATCACTCAATTCCATTGTTGCTTAATGCATGTATGATCAGATTTTTATAATAATGATTTCCCATCTCATGGAATTTAATTCAGATACACTTGTCACTAAATATTATGTTCACATCCAATCCAATGTGGTGATCACAGATAATTGTATTTTCCAAAGCATATATATTTTACTTCTTCACTGTATGGGTATAAATATATGTAATATTCCAGACCATCACAAACATCTTCACAATTTGTAATTTTGAACTGATGTGGAAAAGGCGCACAAATCTTGACTGGCTTTCCTCATTGGATACAACCCTTTAGTTTCAAGCAATCAAGGGGGACACAGCAGGTTGTTAATGTAACTAGAGGACTGGATTTGCAAGTCGATGGGATAAAGATTAGAAGCTCATATGCTCATGCTTTTTATAATATGAAGCCTCAATTTATTATAAACTATTGTATCATTTCTAGTAAGATTTTTAGTATATTTTTTTTCTTTCTAATTTTATTTTCTGTCTAAGAAACTCCTGCCTGGCCCCCAATTATTTGTGACGTTATCATCAGGAAGCATTAACAGTAACACATGGGCAGTAATGAAGGCTAGTGAAAGTTAGGACCACCAAGAGTGAAAAAGTGTTGAATTACTTCTTATAAGAAGTCGAAATGAATTAGTTGCACTTTTAGCAGTTTTGAGAAACTGCTTGTTTGACTGCTTAAGTTTGTTCAATACTGAACTGCTTACACAAATTCTTAGCAGTTTTTTAACCAGTCTGTAAGCAGTTTCAAGGAATGCTAAGACTAAGACTGTTAAGAACTGCCTAAAAACTGCCAAAAAATTGCCAGACTGCCTAATAACTGTTTATAAACTGCTAAAATAAGCAGTTCACTTTGACTTGGGTCATCTTTCAATCTGCACAATAATTAAATCTATTAAAACTGTAATTGAAGGAACATTTTTAAATAAATAAGAAAATGAGCAATGTATAAGTAGTGGCAGAAACATACTAGTTAAATATTCTCTTATGATCTAACATCAAGGTGAGAGAATCATGATTTTTTTCCTACAGACTTCTGGATGTGTTGGCCGGTAGGAAAGACCCCAGCGGACTCCAAGGAGAGATTCTGTTTGATGGAGTTCCTCCCCCTGAAAATTTTAAATGCATGGTTGGATATGTTGTACAAGTGAGTTTTTTAATTATTCATTATTGGTTTTTTTCCTCCTAAGTCATGTTATTGCATAAAATGATATATTCAAGGGCTCTTTATAAAATGTTGGGGGATATCTTTTATACAATTTCAAACAATTATAATAGTGAAAAATACTGCATCAGAATTCAATGATAATGGATAATGTTTTGTTTTTCTGCCGTAAAATAGGATGATGTTGTCATGGGAACATTAACAGTCCGGGAAAATTTCCAATTCTCGGCAGCCCTTCGTTTGCCATCAAACTTGACAAAGGCAGATAGGGATGAGCGAGTGAATACAGTAATACAAGAACTGGGCCTCTCCCACTGTGCGGACACAAAGGTGAGTTTCTGCTATATATAATTTTTGAATGACTATTAATTAAAATACTTTGAAGTAACCTCTTCATTCACCAGTAATTTTTTTGCTAAAATAGCAGGGTTGTCCCTAGGACAAGGGTGGGTGGAATTTCTCGGTCTATAATTACCAAGTGCAGGTTATTTTGGTATTTCCCCTCAACCTTATGTTAAGGTACAAACCCGGGCCTAACCCCTTCTATGTTTTTTAATCCTCCTTCTATTTCAGTTCTTAGGGACAACTCTGATTTCTATAATGATAATAAATGTGAATATGATGTATTCAAATTTGATGCTGACAATATATTAAATGTCGACAGGTAGGAAATGAGTTTATACGTGGAGTGTCAGGAGGAGAAAGGAAGAGGACCAACATTGGAATGGAGCTAATTATCTCCCCTCCTGTCCTGTTCCTTGACGAACCAACCACTGGGTTAGACGCCAACACTGCCAATTCTGTCATGTTGTTATTGAGAAGGTAAAATCACAGCCAATTCTGTCATGTTGTTATTGAGAAGGTAAAATCACAGCCAATTTTGTTATGTTGTTATTGAGAAGGTAAAAACATGGCTGATTCCATCATTAAAAGTAAATTTAATTGTCTGGAATATCCATTCTTGAACCTAAATGTTGTCTAGTTTGTCTCGTTTCTTTCCAATCTATGATGCCCAGGTTAGACAGGTTTTTCAAAAGTTACAAAGTTTATATTTTGATAAGCTGTCAAAATCTGACACAGGCATCCATCCTCAGAGCTACTCCCTCATAAAACTTTTCTTTTCAACATATTGAGTATTCCAAATTCTTGCCTATTTAAAGCAATGTTAACCTTTGGATTCTTTCAGTAGATTTAATTGTTTTTTGTCAAAGTAGAGGAGTTTTTTAGGAGAAAAAGTAGGATTTAAAAGAGGTAATAATGACAGCTTATGTACATATTTTATTACGATTTTCAGGTTGGCCTTGAAGGGTTGGACTATTATATTCTCTATACACCAGCCCCGCTACTCTATATACATATTGTTTTGTTTTACAGGTTGGCGAAGGGTCAGACTATTACAGTAAATCTGGAAATTTTTGCTGTACATAAATTTTTAGCAAATTTGTGAGTTCATTGCATTCGCAAAAATATTTTTCTTAAAAATAAATTACCAATAAGAAAATGTAAACAAAACAGTGGTCATACGCAAAAGTTTGAAACGTAAAAATTAATCAACATCATTTTGACCCGAATTCGCAATATAAAATCGACGTAAAAATTTCCAGATTTACGGTATATTTTCTATACACCGGCCCCGTTACTCTATCTACATATTGTTTTGTTTTACAGGTTGGCGAAGGGTTAGACTACTATATTCTCAATACACCAGCCCCGCTACTATATATACATATTGTTTTGTTTTACAGGTTGGCATTGAAGGGTCGGACTATTATCTTCTCTATACACCAGGTCTGCTACTCTATCTACATGTTGTTTTTGTTTTACAGGTTGGCATTGAAGGGTCGGACTATTATCTTCTCTATACACCAGCCCTGTTACTCTATCTACATGTTGTTTTTGTTATACAGGTTGGCATTGAAGGGTCGGACCATTATCTTCTCTATACACCAGCCCCGTTACACTATCTACATGATGTTTTTGTTTTACAGGTTGGCATTGAAGGGTCGGACCATTATCTTCTCTATACACCAGCCCCGTTACACTATCTACATGTTGTTTTTGTTTTACAGGTTGGCATTGAAGGGTAGGACCATTATCTTCTCTATACACCAGCCCTGTTACTCTATCTACATGTTGTTTTTGTTATACAGGTTGGCATTGAAGGGTCGGACCATTATCTTCTCTATACACCAGCCCCGTTACACTATCTACATGATGTTTTTGTTTTACAGGTTGGCATTGAAGGGTCGGACCATTATCTTCTCTATACACCAGCCCCGTTACACTATCTACATGTTGTTTTTGTTTTACAGGTTGGCATTGAAGGGTCGGACCATTATCTTCTCTATACACCAGCCCTGTTACTCTATCTACATGTTGTTTTTGTTATACAGGTTGGCATTGAAGGGTAGAACCATTATCTTCTCTATACACCAGCCCTGTTACTCTATCTACATGTTGTTTTTGTTATACAGGTTGGCATTGAAGGGTAGAACCATTATCTTCTCTATACACCAGCCCTGTTACTCTATCTACATGTTGTTTTTGTTATACAGGTTGGCATTGAAGGGTCGGACCATTATCTTCTCTATACACCAGCCCCGTTACACTATCTACATGTTGTTTTTGTTTTACAGGTTGGCATTGAAGGGTCGGACCATTATCTTCTCTATACACCAGCCCTGTTACTCTATCTACATGTTGTTTTTGTTATACAGGTTGGCATTGAAGGGTAGAACCATTATCTTCTCTATACACCAGCCCTGTTACTCTATCTACATGTTGTTTTTGTTATACAGGTTGGCATTGAAGGGTAGGACCATTATCTTCTCTATACACCAGCCCCGCTACTCTATATACAGACTTTTTGACACCCTTATGATGCTATCCCTGGGAGAGGTTGTGTATCACGGCCCGACGAAGGACTCCCTGGACTACTTCCACTCTATAGGTGAGACAGTCTACAGAAGTGTAGGGTTAGGGTTAGAACCCTAATTTGATAAACTGTGCTCTTGTTTGATTATATAGAACAATAGCCACAATTCTTGAAAATTTTGTCTTGCTAATAAAGGGACAATGACTATCTCGTGAAAATACCGTATAAGCAGAATTTTTAGCGAGGATTTAATTTTGTCATTATTAAACGAGGGTGCTGAGATCGCTTAAATGGATTGCATATTACATGTATATGAAATAGCTTCTTTAGTGAGCATTTTAACATCGCTAACATTACATCTCGCTAAAAATAAAATACCAGTTTTTAAGGACAAAGCGTTGACTTTGCGTCTCGCTGAAATTTCCACTTATACGGTAAGGTATCACAAAAATTAAGTGATTTACAGTATACTGATTGCTGAGATTTAAATAAAAAAATTAATAAATACTGTTGTTTAACTCTTTACAACTTACAGAATTGCTATGCAACATACATTGAATCCTCGCGTCATAGAAATATTACTTTACCATTTCCCCGCAAGCACTTTATAGCGGGGTACAAATTTCTCTTAAGTTTAGCGTAAATAATATTGTGAAATAATATTTTAATTAGAAAATAACTTTTCTTATTTTATGAGGATCAAGCAAGTATGAAATAGTTGGAATTTGGCTATAAATTGAAGATTAAATGAACTTTTTAAAGTGCGTGAAAATGCGTGATTGCGGGGAAACGGTAAATGCGTGATTTTGCGTTAGAAATAGGAAATGGTATATGCGTTAAAATGCGTGACTGCGGGGAAGGGTGTTAACTATGTTAATAACATATACCAATCGTGTCTTTATTCAGGTTACACAATACAGGAACATAATAACCCACCGGATTTCTTCCTTGATGTTATCAGTGGAGACTTCAATGTGGATGTGGACACCTTAGATCCAGAGAAAACTTCCACAGGTATAACCGGCCTCATCACAAAGACAGAAAATAATGGGATGGATCAACCTTTATATTTAATCCTCGCAATTAATGGAATTCATTCATTAATGATTCATTATCAAACATGTATTCTAACTAAGCATATTTACCCTGATTGAAGTGATGCACTTAATCAAGCTACACTTTGTCAAAGTAACAGGGGTTGTCAGATTTTTTTTAATTAACTCTTGATATTTCAATGATTGATTAATAATTTCAGGAAAGAAATTAGGTAACTCATTTTGTGTCCCTGGTTAACACTGAATTTTAAACCCATTTCACTCACAATTCCCACTGAAAGGCCCCCCTTCCATGTCCAACACCATCAACTGTGTTTGTTTTTCATTCATTAAACATATTAAATGGATATGGGTCATTTTGTTGTAATAAATTGTTAAGGCATGAACTCATTGTTTACATTGACTGTGCTCCCCTGCTCTGTTTGTCTTTCCTCACCTTATTATCCCTTGTTCGTCAGTTTTCATTTGTATTTATATGGCAACTAATCACTGATGATACTTTTGTTTATTTTTAGCTCCACTGGTCAAAGACTAGAGGAGCTTATGTGATAGTAAGGTGTCCATTGTCTGTTCATCTGTCTGTCTGTAAAAAAATTTTTAGAATCTACTCCAGTTTTGGTCTGATTTTAATATTACTTGGCATGTAAGTAGACTACACAAAGATACATTATAAATTTTACTTATTGATTCTGATTTCAGTGAACAATGCTGCCATGGTTATTATATATAGAAATTTCTTTCAAAAAGCTACACCTCCTACATTTTTGGTCTGATTTCAATAAATCTTACCAAGAAAATGACTAAAGCAATTAATACAATTAAACTCCACTATTCTTTTGTTAACTTTTTAGCTCACCTGAGCCGAAGGCTCAAGTGAGCTTTTCTGATCACATTTTGTCCGGCGTCCGTCTGTCTGTCAGTCTGTCCGTCTGTCTGTCTGTCTGTAAACTTTTCACATTTTCGACTTCTTCTCAAGAACCGCTGGGCCAATTTCAACCAAACTTGCCACAAAGTATCCTTGGATGAAGGGGATTCAAGTTTGTTCAAATGAAGGGCCACGCCCTCATTCAAGGGGAGATAATTGGGAATTAATGAAAATTTAGTGGCATATTTTAAAAATCTTCTTCTCAAGAACCAGTGTCTGTGCCAGGAAAGATGAAACTTATGGGGAAACATCCTCAGGTAGTGTAGATTCAAGTTTGTTCAAATCATGACCCCCGGGGGTAGGGCGGGGCCAAAATGGCCGACCAAAGTTTTACATAGAAATATATAGGAAAATTCTTTAAAAATCTTCTTCTCAAGAATGACAAAGCCATAATTCATCATATTTATATGGAAGCATGTTCAGGTAGTGTAGATTCAAGTTTGTTCAAATCATGACCCCCGGGGGTAGGGCGGGGCCAAAATGGCCGACCAAAGTTTTACATAGAAATATATAGGAAAATTCTTTAAAAATCTTCTTCTCAAGAATGACAAAGCCATAATTCATCATATTTATATGGAAGCATGTTCAGGTAGTGTACATTTAAGTTTGTTCAAATCATGACCCCCCGGGGGTAGGGCGGGGCCAAAATGGCCGACCAAAGTTTTACATAGAAATATATAGGAAAATTCTTTGAAAATCTTGTTCTCAAGAATGACAAAGCCATAATTCATCATATTTATATGGAAGCATGCTCAGGTAGTGTAGATTCAAGTTTGTTCAAATCATGACCCCCGGGGGTAGGGCGGGGCCAAAATGGCCGACCAAAGTTTTACATAGAAATATATAGGAAAATTCTTTGAAAATCTTCTTCTCAAGAATGACAAAGCCATAATTCATCATATTTATATGGAAGCATGCTCAGGTAGTGTAGATTCAAGTTTGTTCAAATCATGACCCCCGGGGGTAGGGCGGGGCCAAAATGGCCGACCAAAGTTTTACATAGAAATATATAGGAAAATTCTTTAAAAATCTTCTTCTCAAGAATGACAAAGCCATAATTCATCATATTTATATGGAAGCATTTTCAGGTAGTGTTGATTCAAGTTTGTTCAAATCATGACCCCCGGGGGCAGGGCGGGGCCAAAATGGCCGACCAAAGTTCTACATAGAAATATATAGGAAAATTCTTTAAACATCTTCTTCTCAAGAATTACAAAGCCATAATTCATCATATTTATATGGAAGCATGCTCAAGTAGTGTAGATTCAAATTTGTTCAAATCATGACCCCCAGGGGTAGGGCGGGGCCAAAATGGCCGACCAAAGTTTTTAAAGATATATATAGGAAAATTCTTTAAAAACCATTTTCTAAAAAATAGCAAATCCATGATTGGTCATGGGACTACTTTTGGATTTAAATTTTACAATAAAAAGCCATTTTCTACTTTTTCCTACCCTTAGTGCTCAGGTGAGCGATGTTGCCCATGGGCCTCTTGTTTATGACTGCAATAACACCTTCAACATTTGTAAATTAACCTTTACAATGCATGTATGTGAAAACAATATCACTCTTATACTAACTTTTAAGTGAATGCAATAACACTCCACCATTCTTATGTTAATTTTTATATAATTATGCAAAAACACTCTACAATTTTATGCTAACTTTTATGTGAATGCAGTAACACTCAACCATTCTTATGTTAGCCTTCACATGAATGTATTATTATTTCATCATAACTATTCTTATTTCCAGTGTCATGTGAATGCAATACCACTTTACCATTCGTATGTTAACCTTTATATGAATGTAATATTACTTTACCATTCTTATGTTAACCTCTATATGAATGCAATACCACTTAACCATTATTATGTTAACACTTTATATGAATGCAAAACCATTTTACCATTCTCATGTTAACCTTTATATGAATGCAATACCACTTAACCACTCTTATTTTAACCTTAATATGAATGCAATACCACTTAACCACTCTTATGTTAATCTTTATATGAATGCAATACCACTTAACCATTCTTATGTTAACCTTTATATGAATGCCCATTTTACCATTTTCATATTAACCTTTATATGAATACAGTACCACTTTACCATTCTTATGTTAACCTTGATATGAATGCAATACCACTTTACCATTCTTATGTTAACCTTTGTATGAATACAATACCACTTTACCATTCTTATGTTAACCTTTTTATAACTGCAATACCACTTTACCATTTTCATATTAACCTTTATATGAATACAATACCACTTTACCATTCTTATGTTAACCTTTATATGAATGCAATACCACTTTACCATTCTTATGTTAACCTTTACATGCATGCAATACCACTTTACCATTCTTATGTTAACCTTTATTTGAATACAATACCACTTTACCATTCTTATGTTAACCTTTATATGAATACAATACCACTTTACCAATCTTATGTTACAGATGAGGAGGATGTTCATGGTGCTCTTGTACAGAAATTCAGACAATCAAATGTCAACGCAAAGTAAGTTTTCAACAAATTTTAAGCACTACAGTATTGGTTCACTGCCTCTAAATCAATAGAAATTTTATAAGAATGTTCAGTTTTTGATAATGCATGTTATGTAATTAAGGTTCATGTTGTGTATTGCAGAGTTCAAAGTGAGGTGAAGGCTATCTTTGATGAATATCAGTCCAAATTAACAAAGAAAGAGTTGGTATCACTGCCACCTGTAGAATACAACACATCATTCTTTACACAGGTAAGCTTAAGATTACCTCTTACTCCAGCTTAAAAGTGGGGTGGTAAAACGTGTCAAAATATACACAAAATCTCTCACTCTAACTAATAAGTGTCATGATTTACACATATAAGAACTGACTCAGAGGTGGTATTTTTATAGTGCAACACCTTTTCATTTGATAGGCAAATTGTTGCACCTAGAAAGGAATTTTTTTTAAACTACAGACTTAGATAATAAAACTTGAGATGATAAAGGACTATATGAGTATCAGACAAACACTTAAGAGGCTGATAAATCTCTGACAAATCTTTTTTATTTAGAAAAAGAGAAATAGGGAGTTTGATAGCTTTCTAAAATATGAACTTGACAATCTCTGAATTATTTTGCTAAATCAAAAGGACATTCAGCATTATAAAATAAATATTTAGGTTGGTAACAGTTGAAATTGACACCCCAAAGAAAACCATTGTCAATGGATGCTCACTTGTCAGTTGACATAGGTTTTCTCTGGAATAACAATTTCAACTGTTACTCTTCTTAAGGTACATTGATACTCTGATAAGAGAGATAACTCTTAATGACACAAATGTCTAATATTCCTTTATAAATTAGACAAGTTTAAGTGCCTTTGAATTTGTCAAATTTTGCCCCGTAAGCCATGCTATAATTGTTTGTATTTTATTCAGCATATACATTTGCTTTGGAAAATCATAAAAGTTAAAGAAAAATTTCATATGAGTGAGCAGAGGGTTTATAAACCTTAACAGTGACCATTTACATAAGCAAGAAGTATTATACTGCAACCACCTGCAATGTGCATCTTTTCTTTTACATTAAACTTCCCTTAGGCATGATTATCAGTTAATACTTTAGCCATGATTATTAGAAAGAATCATCAACTTAGCTTAGTTACGGGTATGATTATTAGGAAGAATCATCAACTTAGCTTAGTTACGGGTATGATTATTAGGAAGGGGATCATAGAATTCTTTGATTATACATATTATCCAGTACCTTAGTTCCATGATTCCAATCACAGAAACAAACCATTTACAAACCATTCTCTTTCAGCTTTTGATCTGCTCAGGGAGAACCGTTAAGAATATAGCCAGGAATCCCCAGACCTCCATCATGCAGGTAACTATGGCAATGGAATCATTCTTATTCTTGGGGATCAATGTATTGTCGGTGGGCAAGCAATAATTTATCTGTTCATGGGTAACATTCAAACATTCCTCTCCCCCTCTAAGAATTGATCTTATATATCCAAATTTTTTTTTGCAGTACACACAAAAATAGATTAAAAATCCCTAGCTCTTTAATACAACTGGTTATATTATTTTGGACCCTTGTTCCTAACTACATTAGGGCAAAAGCAAATGTAAATTATAAGAAATTAGAAAGATGATTGACTTTATGACTATATATATATTCCTTTCATTGAATAATTATTAAGTATTTTTTTTATCTTTGTAGCTGTTTGTGATCCTAATTTTTGCTGCCATAGTTGGAGGGATCTACTGGCAAATAGAAAATGACTGTAAAGCAGGGATTCAGAACAGGTATGTTTGTATAGCTCAGGTAAACCTGGTAACCAGAACAGGTGTGTTTGTATAGCTCAGGTATACCTGGTAACCAGAACAGGTATGTTTGTATAGCTCAGGTTAACCTGGTAACCAGAACAGGTGTGTATATATTGCAAGTAGGCTTAATCTAGTACATGTACAACAAAACATGACCCCTTGGAGTAGGTTGGAGCCACAATAGGTATTGCAAGGGGGGAAAGCCTGGTGAAGAACAGGGTCAAAACTCTTCAGGTGAGTGTTGTGGTCCATGGCCCTCTTGTTTTTGTGTTTTAAAATACTAACAACAAGGGCACTGTAGGGCGGGACATCCCCTCAAAAACAGCATATCTATAAATCAAGGTAGCAGTTGATGCAAATTACACTCGCAAGGAAAAACTAACCCACTACCAATACATTCAAGCATATTTTGTATCTCCCGAAATCCATTTTGAGCTGATGATTAGTTCAATTTGTAACTTCAAGCTTAAATGAAAGTTAAATGTTTTTCTGTTGCAGGGCATGTATATTTACCAGCATGTTCCAACATTTACAAATAATTTAATTTTATTTGTTATTTGATTGGTTAAACGGTTTTATCCATTTTGTATAACATAACTTGCCTTCGTCACAATGAGTTACGTCAAAAACGTATTACTCCGCTTGACATTAACTATATGAAAATATGCGATATTAAAAGCCTTTTTCCGAAGGATTAAATGGAAATATTTCTCATTGTCTACATTGAAATTAAATTATAAGGAATGAAGATTTCAACTTATGTTATACGATATAACATAACTTGGGGCGTATGGGCAGGCGGCCAAAAGGGCAAAAATTACCATTATGAGAAATACAAACAATTATTTAAAAATTTCAATGACCATAAAAACTTAACAAACGATATAAAATGCACAGTCAACAGACTTTTTCGCAGGACAAATATATTAAAGCAAAACCAACGACAACGAACGTAACAAACATATATGAATGCAAAACCAACGATCATCTATAGAACAAGCGTATATAAAAACACAACAAGCGAAAAAACTTAACAAAAGTGCAAGCTGTAATTCATCATATTTATCCCCACAGCCGGCTCCGATGGTCCCGGATTTTTTTTTTGTCGGACTGCACAGAAACTCTTCACACTTCTCAGGCACGTTTTCTTTTTAAATGTATATATACGTAAAAACTTAAAAATTTGCGTATTTTTAAAAAATCAGCAGTATCACCTGCCAAAAGCGGTAAATGAAGTACTCCTTTATAAATATGAAAACCAAAAAAGACATCAATACAGAGAGACATAAGGTGTCGTAGATATTAAATGTGCATGGACACAGATTTGAAGTTAATATTTTCTGTATAATATTACGACTTATATATTTTAATAGCATTTTACACAAAAATAAATTAAAAATCTTATTTCATCTAAAAGTTATTGAAACTTCAAATTTTTGGATGGATTTGATTGACACATCCTTGCACTCTCACAAATTTTACTTTTATATACTTCGGAAAAGTGGCAATTTTGTTTCAATAACTTTAAGATGAAATAAAATTAACTTCAAATCTGTTTCCACGTATGTTTAAAGATATTAAGAATATTGATATTGAGAAGATATTTCTTCTCAAAAAGATGGAATTAGTATTTTAGAAGAAATTAGTGGTGTTAATAAAAATTTGAACATTTGTGTGTATAAAAATTCATAACATCAAAATGATTTGATTTCAAAAATGATTTTTACCAAAATTTTCATAAAAATAGTTTTAATCTAACATTGTACTTATGGTAAAACCATGCAAAATGAAAGTACTGCATTGTTATGCATTGACGTAGTATCGTTTTGAAAGGAGGGGGGCAACCAGAGAAAAAATTTCAATCCAGCTGAAAAAAAAAAAGATTTTAAAACTTGACAATCAAAAACAAAAGGAAACTAAAATGATACAGCCCAAACTCGAAAATTCTATTTCGTGTGTGTGAGTGAGGGTGTGTGTGTGTGGGGGTGGGGGTGGGGGGGGGGGGGGGGTGTTAGGTTCAATTTCTTTCAGTACCAATTTTTTCCTGATATACATGTGCTACATAACCCTTTTTTGACCTTACTCTTAAATTTGGGAAATGTTGCTGTGTGCCTGAGATGTCACTGTAATTAAAACTTATCATAATAGATTCTTGTAATATTTAAAGAATTGGGAAAAACCAATTTATGTAACAATAACGAAAAAAAAATGACGAAACGGCCTTCAGGAGAATATTTTTTTTTTCATTTTATGTCAATTCTTTTCTTTCATTTGAAATTTTTAAGATGAATTAACCCCCCCCCCCCCCCCATGTAAAAAAAAAGGAAAAAATTAAAGGGGGATTTCTGGTTTACCACGTCCATGTTGTAGAGCCTGGGAACATAAACGTGATGTGGCAAAGAGTTCTATACAAAAAAAAATTGTGGGGAATTTTTGTGCATACAAATTATCTAGCATGTAAATGAGGGTTTTCATTTATTAAAAAAAAATTACCTCAGTTTGTTGTTTTTACGCGATTCTACGAAAACAATGGTATCCTTTTTTCAGTGTTTTTCGCATTTATTGCTGAGTACTAGATTTATCGCTTTTTGGCAGATGATACTGCTGATTCAGTAATAAATACGCAAATCTGTTAAAGTTTTTACATATCATTGAATTCATTTAAAAAGAAAATGTGCCTGAGAAGTGTGAAGAGTTTGACCTGTGCAGTTCGACAAAAAAGAAATTGCCAAAAAAAAAAAAAAAAAAAAAAATCTGTTTGCTGTTGCCATGGCCGATTGTCGGGAAGTTTGGATTTACAGCGTGCACGTTTGTTAAGTTTTTTTCGTTTGTCGTGTTTTTATGTACGCTTGTGCAAAGATGATCGTTGGTTTTGCATTCATATATGTTTGTTACGTTCGTTGTCGTTGGTTTTGCTTTATTATATATTTGTTCTGTGAAAAATCTGTTTAATGTGCATTTTATATCGTTTGTTAAGTTTTTATGGTCATTGAAATTAAAATAATTGTTTGTTTTCTCATTCATGGTAATTTTTGCCCTTTAGGGTGCCCATACGGGCAGTTCAATTTTTTATAAACCGCTTCGTGGTTTATAACAGTGTGACCTAAGGGCGGATTCAGGGGGGTTTTAATTAATGCAACTGCAAACAATCAAACAATGAATTTTTTTTTATACAAGTGTCATTTTATCATTTTGTTGCATTGATAAGACTCTAATATACACGAATCCATTGTTCTGTACAACTGTGAAATATACTTCAGGCACGTAACAGGAAATCACTTTCCACTTGAACGCACACAATACACAGGTAATCAACAGAGAGAGGGGTAATCGGTGAATCTAGTGAAGTCACAAGATCATCGTGCAGTACAATGTAGTGAAGTATCAACAACAGAAAACTGCATAGTTACGGTGCTGCTCAGTAATATTCCTTTGCTGATAAAATGCATGTTTTTTTTATTAACTATAATTTGAATAAACTATTATATAGGGTTTTTTATTTACCGTTTTAAAAATTAAATTAATACATTTTTTTTACATCATATTGACAGTATACTCAAGTAAATTGAAAAGCACTAATTAGGAATTCTGAAAAGAATCCAATGTTTGATTTTTTGAAAGTGTTTAAAATTGCACATCAGTTGCATCTTAGAAGTCAGCTTGACTAAATTAATTGAAAATGCATTTAAAAGACAACTTGAAGTCAACTGCTTGTATTCCTAAAATTGTCAGATGTAACAATTTTTTAAAGCAAAGTCTAAAGTCTTGTGCTAAAGTTAAATTACATGTAATTTGAAACATTTTATTTATCTAAATTCTTAAATATTTGTGATGATTGGTCCTTAAAAAAGATACAAAAAGTACAAGAAATGCTGGAAAATGCACCATTTTAGAACTATTTAAAACAATTTTTTTGGGGGGGGGGGACCCCCCAAATTCATTCTTTTAAACAAGGTCTAAAGTCTTGTGTTAAAGTTAAATCAAACTGAAACATTTTATTTTTCTGGATTCTTAAAACTTTCTGATGATTGGTCTTTAAAAAAGCTACAAAAAATACAAAAGAATGCTGGAAAATGCACCATTTAGAACCATTTAAAACAATTTTTTTGGGGAGGAGCCCCCCACTCCATTTTTTTAAACAAGGTCTAAAGTCTTGTGTTAAAGTTAAATCAAATTGAAACATTTTATTTTTCTGGATTCTTAAAAATTTGTGATGATTGGTCTTTAAAAAAGCTACAAAAAGTACAAAAGAATGCTGGAAAATGCACCATTTAGAACCATTTAAAACAATTTTTTTCGGGGGGAGCCCCCCACTCCATTTTTTTAAACAAGGTCTAAAGTCTTGTGTTAAAGTTAAATCAAATTGAAACATTTTTTTTTCTGGATTCTTAAAAATTTGTGATGATTGGCCACAAAAAAGCTACAAAAATTACAAAAGAATGCCAAAAATGCTACATATAAAAGAACCATTCAAAACAAAATTTTGTCTGAAGGTGACACCCCCTAAAAATGCCCTCCCCCTTCGGCCCTTTGGGCCTCAAAACCCCCCCACATGGACTTCTGGATCCGCCACTGCAGTGCCCCAAGTTATGTTATATCGTATAACATAAGTTGAAATAAGCTTCATTCCTTAAGTAATTGAATATTTTTTTAAAATTTTTAATTATATTTTTTTTTCTTTGCAGAGTTGGTGCTTTCTTTTTCATTGTGATGAACCAAGTGTTTGGAAATCTATCTGCAGTAGAATTATTTATCAAGGAGAGGGCTATATTTATGTAAGAAATATAATTATGTTAAAACAATACAGATAAAGCAAACACTTTGCATTTAGATATACATTTGTTGGTAAAACTTAATATCAACTATTTTTTGATCCAGTGAATACTTCAGTCATGTAAATGAACACTTTAGACCAGCAGTTATAATTAGATTTTCTCGTTGACCAGGCATGAGAACGTGAGTGGATTTTACCGTGTGTCGGCTTACTTCTTCTCCAAGATATTCTGTGATGTCATTCCTATGAGGTTGTTCCCTGTTGTCATTTTTTCTGCTGTTACATATTTTATGATTGGTGAGTTTTTTTGGCTGTTAAATACCTCATGATTGATGAGTAATTTTAATTTCAAACATTTTTATATATTCATGATTGGTAAGACTGATATTTTTCCTTGTGATTAGCTTTCATACCCTATACAGAAAAAAATCTCTTCATACTAAACCAATGAAAACAATACTGAATGAATGAAATTTGAGACATATTTTATCTTACACCAATCTTGACCTTCAGGTTTCACAGCAGAAGTGGACAAGTTCTTCATCTACACCCTCAGTCTGTTTGCTGTTGCAATGGCAGCCTCTGGTTTGGCTTTCTTCTTCAGCGCCCTGGTTAAGATTTTCGCCATTGCCAACTTGTGTATTGCCTTATGCTATGTTTTTATGATGGTAAGTGTATAAATAAACATTATCTTGTGCTGTGATTCTTTTTGCAGCCACAGTAGATGATGAAAGATAAAAATCTTTTTAAGAACAGCATGATTTTGATTTGTCAGATCAAAAATTAGGCAAACATCTTCAGCTAAAATTGAAGAATGTTCAATTCATAGCACAAGTAGATGGGTAGGGTAACGGGGTCAATTTTCTGATAAACAGGACATAAATGACTAAACAGTGTGACCTAATTAATGCAACTGCAAACAATCAAACAATGAATGTGTAAATATGGATTGGATTTTCAGGTGTTCAGCGGTCTTCTGATCAACATATCCTCTATTGCGGAATGGCTGAGGTGGATCAAATGGCTTAGCATCTTCAGATATGGTCTCAATGTAAGAACATTTGTCGTTTTAGCTTTACTTAAGTAAAGTCAAGGTAGTGTAGACAGAAGAAAAAGACTCCCAGCATCTGTCTGTTTAGCTGATACAGTACCCGCATCGTTATTCTTGACAAATCTATCATGTCCTGTCGTGCGTGTATCCTATCGTATCGTGCGTGTATCCTATCGTATATCGTGCGTGTATTGTATCGTGTATCCTGTAAAGAATAACGATGCAGGTACTGTAAGAATTTATAGCCTACCGCACCTTGGTGGGGTCATTTGACTTCAGAATCTCAGTTACAAATCTCAGGAGAAAGTCTGACCAAGGATTGCAAGTCCTACCTGAATCTTGCATTGATAATGCATCACGTATGCACATCCAGATTAGATTCAGATGCTTGGTTTGACCCATCAAATGAACAAACAATCAGGGAAAAGATTGGGTATTGCTTCCCAAGAACCTTCTGATGCTGTGCAATATTATGATGGAACAGATCTTTAGGAGGTTGTCATTCCAAAGTGATAAAAAGCCCTATGCTCACCATACTTGCTTTAGATGCTGCATCTGACATACATGTAGATAACTAAGTTAAAGTTTTTGAAGAGTTAATTAACGTCTTTGAAGTACACTCTTGCATGCATTTTGGATCTAAGGAACTCTCTGTAAAATCATTCCTTTGGTTTGAAACTTTACTTTCCTTAAATTCATGTATGTCTAGGTGAGCTCTGTAATCTTTGAAAATATTTTTTATTAGGCTTCTCTTAGTTTTCATTTGATTTTCAATAACTCTTGGCATACTAGAAGAGCACATCGAGACAAATGTTAGATGGTGTTTTCATTAATGCAATAAATACACAATATTTATGTGTTAACCTCTTGTTTTGAAGGCTCTGAACATCAATGAGTTAAAAGACAAACACTTTGACAATAGCACAGTGTGGTAAGTACATAGTGGAAAATAATCATATTTGACTTTGCAATGATATTATAAACTTGAAATAAATACAGTGATGTACATGTTGTTTCAGTGGGAACGAGTATCTCAGTGAGCAGGGGATCGAGTACGAGACAGACTTTGATCTCTGGCAGAACATCATGGCTATGTTAGTGTTTTCTGCCTTCTTTTTAATCCTAACTTACGTAAGACTGGCCACAATGAACAAGTTAAAATAATTCCCACAGAAGACCAAACAATCAGGCTACGTATAAAAGACCCAAAAATGGACCAAATGTCTGAAGGTGCATTTAAAAATGTGACTGTCAAAGATTATAATGCGTGATTAAGAGTCCCTGGTGAGAATGTAAAATATCTTTGATGTGCCAATTCATTTTTTATCAAGCTCATTTTTCTCTTTAAAGTGTTATTTTATCATAAGATATGAGGAGCCATAGATCCAAACGGATATCTGTAGGAACAGATTATGTTTAGATTAATTTTATGAATAATGAAGATTTTAGTTTAGAAGTTATAGTTTGAGGTTTTCAGACAATCAGACTGGGTCATTCAATATACATATGCAAATACATATCAAGAAATATGGCTAATTTTAAAGTTTCAAAGCATTTGAGAAAAATCTGTGCTCATATTAAATCGGAATTTTTGAAGATCCAATGAAAATCCAAAACTTTATGCCAGAAAATGCATTACAATCCTTTGTACACATGTGTCATTGTAGAGTTCTAGGAGGTAAGACAATTTTTAAGCTTTACATCAAATTAGCTTTAGATATAGAATGTAACTTTTTAGTTGGAGAGTATTTTACCATAGCTTTATAGTCACTTAGTATTGTAGCATTATACCAGATATACCAGATATATGTAACATTGGTTGAGCAGCTGAACTTGTGATAAATAATCCGGTTTTGTGATTTGCATTTTTCTTCAACATTTTACTTGCCATAGAGAGGGAAATTTTAATGAATATACAGAAAATATTGTATGGACCAAATATGTATCTATGAAATAATTTAACTGTTAGATGTGCTAATTGAGGTTTAACCCCTTTCATGACATATACGCATTTCTATGCATCTGACTGGAAAATCGGGTATAGTTTGAACAAACATTCATAACATCATTAAAACTGCAAATATCAGAATAATTCTTGCACTGTTGGAAAAAGAAAAGTATTACGATAAACTATTATACAGAAATTTTTTTTATTGGTTGTACCAGTTTTTTGCTAGCTTCAGTTAAACTTTGGGCACTATTTAAGCGATTTTGCCATTATCAAAATCAATGCGAGGATAACACTTAATATGTAAAAATGTTAAATTCTGATGATTACCTCCCAACCCCACCCCATCCTGCCAAAATACTTAAAATTGGTTTTTAAACAAATGTACAACATGCCCATAATTTTCAACACAACAATAGAATATTTTAATATATATTTAACTAAGCAAAAGAACTTGAATAAAACTCATTCTTGAATAAATGGAAATTCCAGTATGATTATGGTGTATTTCGTTGCCATGCCAACTGAAATGATATTTTTATAATCATTTTCAAAAACTACACAATACCTGCATTCAGATTATACATATATTGGTATATACAAAAATTACAAGAAATACCTGAAAAAATGCATTGAAATCTAAACTTAAAATCTTTGCCATGGAAGGGGTTAAGGTAGTACACAAGTTACTTTGCATTTAATAACAGACCATAAACACATAATAATATGTAGGCTCTGGAATGACCAATGTCTAGGATTCTCTAATTATTTGTATAGGATGGCAAAAGCATGTCACAGGCTTTAAATTTCCTCACAAAGATCATAACATATTGCCATTACAGTGATGTGATTCTTTTTTCCAGTGAAGTTATGAGAATTGGTTAAAACATATTTCATGAGTGTTTTATACTACCTTAAATGCATGTTCTGGTTAAAACTTTGCTCCCTAATGACTTTAATTTTGACATATTGAGGAAGTGTACTAAGTATGTTATAAAGCATTTTATCATTAATACGTTACAAGTCATGATGAAACATGTTGTGTGCATATTGTTGTACATGTAAAGTAACTGTACCTTGCCAGTTATTTGTATTGTTATTCTTTATTTTTTATTAATAAATGATATTTAATAAGCTGGAAAATCTTTTACAAAATCTTCATATTTTGAAAGTGGAGAGAATGACAGTCACATAGCCTAGAAAAAAAATTGATTATCTTGTCAAGTACAAAGCTTACATGTTGTCGGACACACTAGTACTAGTAATAGTACTAGTACTGAATGTGAGGTGTTTGGAACACTGAAAGTGAAGCCTCAGAGTTTACTGATCTTACCTGAGTTGTCATTCTTTCTGGTAAAATTCAGGGATCTTCAGATTATTTGATTATTCCAGCAGATTTGTTAAGGTTTTTATGCATATATAACTTTGTACTTAACAAATTGATATTTTAGAAGAAGATCCGTTTGCCCTGTCAATAATTTTTAATTTCTATTAATGGTTATCCATCTTGTACCAATTGCTCCCTTTCTAAGGAAGAAATTCTTCAAAATCATGTGGCAGTTTTGAAAATTTTAATATCCCTATCAACCAAAATGAATTTGATTATATTTTTTATATCGGATTCTAAAACTCCGTAAAACCTTTTTGTCTTTACTCATCACTAAAATATTAATAGTAGTGAAGGACAATACATTCAAGAAGTAGTGTAAATTAGATGTGGATACTTAAACACTCAAAGGACTTGAGGACTGATTATATAAATTTTACCAAAATTAACAGGAAAAATGTTATTAAAAAAATTGAAATTTTCAAGTTTATATAAAAACCATTCCCTACTAAATATTAAAGTCCAACTTTTTGATACAGACCACTTGAATATGCTTTTTCAATAAAAATTGAATTTGTTAATTAAGTCACTTTGTCATTGGTCATTTGCAAAATTATTTTTTTTTAAATATTCTTATTGTATACACAAGTACTCTGAAGTTGACAGAAAGATGTTTGTGTATCTATATGAAACTTTTCACATTTTCATCTTCTTCTCCTGAATTACTGGGCTAATTTCAACCAAACTTGCCAAAGAGTATCCTTGGGTGAAAGGTATTCAAGTTTGTACAAATGAAGGGCCACAGCCTCTTCCAAGGGGAGATAATTATGAATTTGTGAAAAAATCTTTTAAAAGTCTATTCAAGAACCACTAGGCTAGGAAAAATGAAACTAACGTGGAAGCATCCTCAGGTAGGGCAGATTCAATTTTGTTCCAATCATGACGCCCGGAGGTAGGGCGGGGCCACAATAGCTGATCAAATTTTTACATCTATAAGGGATTGTAAACGTATTACTAATATTATTCATACTAAATTAGCACAGCTTTGTGTTTGAACCAAGACTTATTTAAACGTAATATTCTGATAATCAGAATTTGTACTGTTGAAGCCAGACAGGAAGAGCATTTGGTTTATTTTTTGTAAAAAATCCTCATATTTCATCGTGATATTTTTGACTATTTTTTGCATGTATAAATTTCTCTGAACTAGCTATTTTACTTACTGGATGGCGATCCTTTTACCGCCCTATCAATAATTTGTAAATGACATCTTGTAGCCATTGAACCGGCTAGATATATTAAAGACCTATATTTTTTGTAGTATAATATATCATTTTGAAATAAAACACCTATTCAATGTCATGACTATGTGAATATTTTGATGCTACATGAGAAGAACTCATTGTGCTAACTTGTTTCTTATCCTTTTGCTTGTCAATAAAATATGTTCAAAACAAAACAAGTTGCCTCTGCCGTTGGCTTTGAGCAGATAGAACACATTAAGCCATTCCTAGTACCTTGGGAGGGATATTCTGTTATATTGATTGATTAGATAATAAATAACTGTATACTATAGGTTCAAACTGGTCCATGGTGTGAAGTCAATCATGGGAACCCCCTCACTCTACCATCATTCGTATGTCAGCTGTCTATTTTCAGGCATTATATAAATATAGAACCGCGTGATCTCTCGTTGCAGATTTGTCTCTGTTTTGAAATTCTGACCATTTCGGGGTCCTAGCAATTATATCATATGCACAGGTATTTATTGAAACATAAACATGATGAATTACTTTCTTTATAGATTAAAACATTATTTCTATTCTTTTTCTCTTCCTTTTTATTATAATTTTGGTGATATATGTTAATTGAAACTGATTACAGTATTGTAAAAGAGATCAGTGTTAGAAAGTAAAAAACAATTAAATGTTAGTTAAAGTTGAGGCTTACAAAGCAAAATATTCTTATATGAAATGTGACGATAACGAACAGTCTCCAGGCTAAAAAGTCCATTAACATTACAAAATAGGAGCAAACACGGACCTCCAAAATATCAGAGGTGGGATCAGGGGGAGTGAGCATCCCCTGTCGACCGGTCACACCTGCCGTATAAATAAATGTTGATGTTCAAAAGGAGTTTATATATGTTTAAATGGCACACGACTTTCAACGGAACCGAAAAGAATCTATAGTTGTACAAACTCTTGTTTTTTACATACCCTTTTTTTCAGTCATTTGTAGAATAATTATTGAATCATACTCACTTGGAACCAAAAATGTTTTGTTCCCCGAGTCTTGGATCAATAAGAAATTAAGCTTGAGTCCATGTTTTTCTCTCCTCCTCTAGCTTGACATCGGCTTCTGCTTATTGGCAACTCGTGTTCCAGATACCTAAACAAGGAAATTAACTGTAAAATGATGTTCTTAGGATGTATTAGTTAACGTTCCGACCTCTATTGCCCGCTGTAGACAGAGAATAAGGCATATATCATTTATGATTCTTCATAGGACCTGGTCCTTATGCAGATGTTTTCAGGTATCCGCCTGTTTGCCTTGGTCAATTTATTTTTATTGTTTGTAGATTTTTTAACGAATCACTCTTCAGTTCCTTTACCTTATCGGAAATATCCCCCCCCCCCCCCCCCTCCCCCTACAACAAGAAACAAATAAAGATGTATTAACAAATAATGACCAAAAAAATCGCAAAAAGTAAAATAAAAAAAAAAAGTCGGTGACTCGTTTTCTCTAAAAAAACGGAAGATGGTGACAAGGATTCGATTCACCACAAACATCATAAGGACGGGGTTTCCGGATTCCTTTATTCTAAGATTACAATTCTTTTTGTACAGCATTTAATACAAATAATCAAATCAATGGAAAAAGATGAAAAGCTACACCCTCTCGCGATCAGAGAATCATTTATCAAATTATCCGCTGAAGCAGTGGCGTCAAGCCGGACCATTTTGTATTTTTCTGATACCATATAATTCTCCCTCTTCGCTTTAATCACTTCTAATGACTGGAAATTGTTTGAAGAGGGACGATTTAGTCGCAATTTCCGCGCGATGCACGCGATACTATTGTTTCAGAATTCCGTTGATGTGAAGAAGAGCTTGCAACTGTCAGCTATCAGTTTCAATTAATGTTAAAACAGAAATAGGAAGTGTTAAATATTGGAATGATTCATGTGTCAAAAATATGTTTATGTTGGCTTCAAATGTCGACCATGCCTCCTGGAAAAAAATGACAACATTAAATACAGGTATGTGGAGATAACGAACAGTATTGGAGGTCAAAAGTTCATTTAACATTTAAAAATAGGAGCAGAGCAAACACATCTACCTCCAAAACATTAGAGGTGGGATCAGGTGCCACAAAGGAGTGAGCATTCCCTACCGACCGATCACGCCCGCTGTGTGCTCCTTGTCATAATCGGAAATAATGTAAAAATGTACGTGGACACCTCAGTGTATAAATAATGGGCTATCAATGAGTGTGAAAAAAAGTCAAACAGCATTGGATTCCGAATCTTCATAGGAATCATTACAAACAAAGATACATAGCGGGTTCCAGTAAATGTTCAACCAAGCCTCTTTCTTTACTCCTCACAAAGATAGTGAAGTAGTGACGGAGAAACTTCTAGAGTTCTGTGCAAAAATATATTCAAGAAGTGGTGTAAATCAGATCTGGATACTTAAAAATTCCAAGGAACTTTTGGACAATTTGAAATTACAAGATTTTACCTAAATTAACAGCTTAAAAATTTACGACTTTTCAACTTTATACACAACTATTCCCCTTGATAAATTAAACTCCATGCTTTTTGATATCATTGACAGTTGCTTTTTTCAATAAAAATGGAACTCGTAAATTAACTTACTTTGTCATTGGTCATTTGCAAAAATTTTTTTGTTAAAACATTCTGATTGTACACACAAGTACTCTGAAGTTGACATCAAAAAGATGTTTGAGTTTCTGATTGACAATATTTATGTGGTTTTTAGAGACCAGGTATTCCAACAATCTATTGGAATATCCATGGGTATTGGGTACCAATTACGCTCCGTTATTAGCAGACCTAGTTTTCTATTCATATGAGGCAGAATTTGTCCAGAATCTTATGCATGAAAAAACAAAGTACTTAATGTGACCTTCAACTCGACATTTAGATATATCGTCGACGTATTGTCAATTACCGATGGCAATTTCCATTCCTATGTCGATTCGATATATCCTGGTGAGCTTGAGATAAAAGATACCACAGAGTCTGACACATCTGTTTCATATTTGAATATTTTACTTGAAAAAGACGTTAATGGTAATCTAACAACCAAGCTATAATTATGATAAACGTGATGACTTCAATTTTCTATCGTCAATTTCCCTTACTTATGCTATAATATATCTTCATCACCTGCATACAGAATTTATTTATCTCAGTTGATTCGATACACAAAAGCACGCTCTACGTTTGAACAATTTCTAAAACGAGGTAAATTATTGACAAACAAGTTTATGAAACAAGAATATTTCACAGTCTCGTTTAAAGTCATCATTTCGTAAGTTCTATGGTCGATACAATGACCTTGTCAGCAGAATTAATACAGTTTATCATTGAGTCATATGTTGACTGACGTTTTTCATACTGATTGTTAGTCCATTATTTATATACTAAATTGACGATGGATTTTCCGTTATTTTCCGATCATGACAAGGAGCACACGGCGGGTGTGACCGGTCGGCAAGGGATGGTCACTCTTCCATGGCACCTGATCCCACCTCCAATGTTTTGGAGGTTCGTGTTTGCTCTACTCCCATTTAGAATAGTTTTATGGACTTTTGATCTTGAATACTGTTCGTTATCTCTATATGTTTTATGTAACAATATTTTGAAATAAAATCTGCTTTATTTGAATATAAAAATCGAGACACATTTACTACCAATCCAAATTTACATAGATTTTGTAAGGCAGAAACCCGACCAACTTTAAAACAAACATTCTGAGAGTATTGCATAAGCAATACATGTCTTCCTTCTGGGATCCCCTTTTCTCTTTAGGATACAAACTTGTTTGGAACATTAATTTATTGCATCACAAACCCGATCGTACTCCCAATTATAAAAAAAAATAATAAAAATGCCATAATTCCGTCAACGGAACGGAAACGAAATTCAAACTTGATCTGTAACTCATCAAAATACACTTACATACAAAAATCAGCTCAATATCCGCAAGCGTGAAGAAAAAAGTGCGAAAACCGAGTTGGACAGACTGACAGACAGAGGGACAGCTAGACGGACGGACAGACTCAGAGGAAACCTCCGGTTTCACCAGTAGGGGACTAATAACAACTTTGGAGGACAATCAGAATGTTCTTTGACAAATTAATTTTCCATATAAATAGGGGTAAATAGGGAAATTTATCTTTATTTATGACAAAACTAAATAAAATATACATCTATAGATAGATCTATACCAAAAAAAAAAGAAGAAAGAAAAAGAAACAACGGTAACATGGATAAGGCCATCCTTAAAAAAAATGTTTGTTTGGAATGGCTGCCTGGAGGGGTTTAGACACAAGACTTAGGGAGGAATTTTTTTTTTCAAAATTTGAGGATAAATTTTTAATTGTTGATAAAAATCTCAATAAGCAGCAGAAACACATTTTCTGACTTTTTGATAAAAGTATCTACTATCAACAAAGATTCCTGATTTTGCACAGAACTGACATAAGTGTTTTATGTGGTCCATGTGATAACAGGCCAAGTATTGATTTAATAGAAAAATTTCTTCTTACTTTTGCTCAATATAATTTTTTTCAGGATGGGGCATTTTAATGAGTCGGGAGCCAATACCAAACAAACACTAATTTTATTTCGGCCTAAATATCATTACTAGAATCTTTGAATTAGTTCTAAACTTCGGTTTATCTTCGGTTGATCTTCTAGTATCACCAAAATCTTCATTAACTAAATGTTGTGAGTGAAATGAAGCTGGCATGACCTTTTGATTTGGCTCATCTCCAAGAAAATTACAACGTGTTTTATCAGGATTTGGAGGCTATGAGAGCCACTGTGGGATTTGTTTAAAAAAAAAACGAAACACTTTTGTAATGCATTCCTATTATTTTGTAAAGACTCCATATTTATCCAATTAAGACGCCTCTGTATGAATGAAAAATTCTTGAATGAGACATAAAAAAAATACACAATCAATCAATTATTTATATTTATCATACTGGGTCTCTCATACCGTAGCATCACTACAGACGGAACGAAAATTGACTACCGAATAGCGACAAAAGGGTACATCGCACTTGTGGAAATCTTGACGGTTTCCTTGGCGGGTGTAAAATTTGGCAATAATTTTGGCGTAATTTATTTTAAGGGACACAGAGGTTCAGATCTTTGCAGATAACCACTAAAATAAGTACTGACTATTTTATCGATTAATATTTTAGCGGACAAACATCAACACGCAAAAATAAACTTAAATTAGCACCCCGCAAAAATAGCCCGCTTTACGGTATCCATTCGACATACTCCTGTACGATATCTAGAGAAGAACCAGGAAGGAATAGTTAGAGTGGTCAGGGTTTACCCGTCCCAAGAGGCTCCAATAATTCTTGGTTTTCACATGACGGACGGTGACAGCTAGAATGGGATATATGACATTTACTCACATTTTTAATCTCAGAAGACCCCAGCATTAGTATTAAGTGTTATTTATGACCATGAATTATAAATAGGTTGAAATAACAATTGGCAGAGATGAGTGCATTTTTGAAATGTTCATCCCAGCATGGCATTCCCTTGATTTGATATACTTAGTTAACTTGCCAGTGATCTAACACTGTTTCTCAGTTATTCTGATTTAGATGGCGCGGAATCAATTTTTAATGATGAGTTTTACGTCTACACTTAGCTTTTTATAAGCTTAGTCATATAGGGTGTCGATATGAGTTGTTTGCAAAAATAAATAAATAAATAAGAATAAAAAGAAAATTGAATGAAAAAGACAAAAAGAACACATAATCCTTGACACTTATGTGGTAGTAAAAGGGCTAAAAGAATGAAGGAGTATTTTATGACTGAACTAAGGTAATGCAATTCAATCTTTTACATAATCTTTTGAGTGTTATGCCATACCCCTTAGGCTTGTGACCATTTACTGCATTCATTCTTCTTGACACGAAACAAACAAGAAAGATTTTATTAATTTATTAATTAAGATTTATATGTGAATTCAAATAACGCCTATGCTATTTTGTGATCATAATTATGTGATTATGTTTAACTAGTTTTAAAAGGACCATACATGGCAGCACTTTTTGGCTGATAATAGCCAGTAAATGAATATATAGTTTGAAATATTCATAAACCCTAATGTCTTACATGTCAAGTACGAACAGTTTTCAAACCAAGGCTGACTACTGACAGATAAGTTGATATTCAAAAACCCTAATATCGAATGCCTTACCTGTCAAGTACGAACAGTTTTCAAACCAAGACAGGCTACTGACAGATAAGTTGATATTCAAAAACCCTAATATCGAATGCCTTACCTGTCAAGTACGAACAGTTTTCAAACCAAGGCAGGCTATTGACAGATAAGTTGACGTTACAGGGATATCAACCGATTTCGTCCACAGTCAGCATTTTGTATACTTTATTTTGTTATAATGACCTTATTAGCAAATATAACCTATCATTTGGCCTACTTTGGCTGACTTGTTTCATACAAATTGTTAGTTCTTTGTTTTATACGGAATTTGACCACGGAATGAGCCCCATGCAAGGACACTATATTTGAAATAGAATTTACGAAACGCTGACTTTGAACGAGGTTGTTTGAATCACTGCTGCATCAACTTAACTGTAACAATTGTTCCACAAATCTATGAGCAATCAAAATATATTTTTGCCCCGCTAAAAAACGCTATACAACTTGTTTTTTTCAACCGTTCCTGGTAGTTTAAACTATTGTATAAAATTTTACAGCCAGTTCTTTTTAATTCAGCTTTTTATTACCATGATTACATTAAACACTTTTCAGAAAATGAAATGTACAGTTTTACAATGGTAAAAGCTTGATTTAGAATATTTGAATATAAAAAAAATTACATAAAATCATTTTTTTTTTACCGAAAGTTCGGAAAAATGCAATGAAATTCGTGATAAATATTAAGCAAATGGCGTTGTTTGCCACTGTTAACAATTAAAAAAAAATGCTGACATATAATTGATTGAATCAAAGAAAAAAAGATCATGACCATTTACAACAAGATGATAGTTTGATATTGAGCATAAATCAGCAGTTGTCAAAATCATGCCTATCTTCAACACAACCTTTTTTGAAAATATCACAGAGAAAATAATTATAGGAAAAGACATTGAAATGTAATAATAAATATCATAACAACATGTAATCGACATATTTTCATAAAATTATTGTTGGATTGTTTGTTGCAAAAACGTCATCAGTGATGTCATTATCCACTACGTCACCTAAACCCGGGATAATCTTCACGAGATCCTCGCGTTTTGAGTTTCGTTGTAGATAAAGCGACACAAGGATAACTGCTGTCGTCATGATGAAAAGAAAAGACGTCCCGGCAAAGAAGAATGACCAGCCATACTCGTAACCAAACTTCTTGGTGTCGTCGTCTGCCTCCGACGGCTTTGGGCGATGTCCAACCTCATCGTTTATGGCGGATATATAGAGGATAATTCCGACGGCCAGCATCAGTCCTACATATAAAATACATGGTTACTGTCTTGAAATATAAGCGATATTTGGGCGAGGGTAAGAAAACGTGATAGAGGGCGAGGCTTGCCGAGCCCTCTTACGTTTTCGACCCGAGCCCAAATATCGCTTATATTTCAAGAGAGTTATCATGTATTTGGTTTATCCTGCAACATATTTTTCACATTTGACCGTCCAAAACTAGCTATTTTCGACGGATTTAGGCACATCTCTGCAGTTGAAACCATGACGCCATGGCGTAAACATTGCAATATACGTGACGTCACCATGCTTTTAGAACGTCGGAATACATGCACGAGGCTTTACTAGGGCAGTCAAAATTGCCAAAAAAGGTTGATATATATATAATTTATTTTTAAAACAGTGTGTTAAAATTGCTATAATATAATTGATATATACGTTGTGGTTTACTTAACCATATAAATGTACTGCTGACCTGATAAGATGTGAATTCCGGACGATATAAGGGTTTTGACGTCATGGTTGATGTTTCCTATAACACTCAGAATTGTGGCGATCACAAGCAGAATCAGAGAAACAATGGGGAACACCGTAGACACTCTGTTAGCACCTACAAAAATGGTCGAAAAAATTACAATCAATTCAAATTATTATCGAAGGGAACACCTTAGACTTTCTCTGTGTTATAATCCATACAGTGAACATACAAAGGTCATAAGAGAATTCATCTAAAGTTTTGAGATTGGGAACCTATTGTTCTTCCCGTCAGCACTGGAAAACAAAACATTATTGCAACCAACACAAGCTCACTGAGTGGAAACAGCATCAGCACCTTGTTGTCTCAAGAGCAACAACAACATTAATTTATCTAGAGCAATCCTCAACACTGCTATCAACTAAAACAAAGAACAAGATGACTAGCTTTTCAGTCATTTGCTCTCCTTGTCACCTGTATACGAGGTTTATATCTCGTAGTTGCCCTAACGAAAAATAATATACCGTGGTTTCAGCAATTTTTGTTGGCATCAATTTTCGTGGATTTTGTAAAACAGACGTTTTCGAGGACACGTAACTTCGTGGACAATATTATTGCCCATACAAATGAACATCATATTTCTTAATTCAATGAACATTTGTATTCGTGGATCTGCTCAATAATGAAATCGTCGAAAATTGGTGCTCAACGAAGGTTGATGAAACCACAGTATTACTATAGTGTACTATAGTTAAGAAATAAATGACAAGTTTATAAACTTCAATGGGAATTGAAGTGGGTCGGTCACGTGATCAAATCCTGTGAAAGCCGAAGGCCTTCTCAGAAGATTTGATCACGTACCGACCCACTTCAATTCCCATTGAAGTTTACAAACTTGTTATTTATTACTTATATATACATTTGAGACAGACAATTGAATATTTTCGAATTAAATTATTGCACTAACCGTCCGTCGTAGATTTTGGAAAATGACGCAAGGTGTAAATCGGCTTGAATGGCGGTTACGCTTCGAATTCACCAGGCTAAGGATTTTATTTCTAAGGGAATATTTTGTGAAAGGCTAATTCTGATCGGTAATAGTGAACAGATTGTTGTCTGGGAATATTTTTATTCGTAAAAACTGATAATCAATGCTGAAAAGACACAAGAAATACGTCGGATTCGAAGATCGATGATAAAAAGTTGGAGGAATTTCGGTCGCCAGAGAGGGATGGATGGATCCGATGGATGGAAACACTTGACACCGTGCCAGTTAATTTGTAATCAATTGGATTTGATCAAAAACATTCAATCTACGATTTCAATGAATAAAGGCATATTTATGATGAAAACACGGAGACACTGGCGACAGCTTATTGTTACGACAACTCCGAAGTGTTTGTCAGCTGTTTGTGGCGTGATTGCAATGCTTTGATATTTTCCAACAGATTTACACATTTATCGTGAGTAGAATTTAATGAAAATATTATAATAGTTTTTCATGGAATTTTAACTAAAGGTCTACCCAAAAAATTAGGATAAACGTTAGAGACTGTACAGCTGACAAAAGTGTCATAAAAGTTGTAAACAAACGCTAGTTTTCATGTGTATATTCTCTATGTACGCAGGTTAAATCGATAGCCAAAAATGTATGAAGTACTCGTTTACATTGTAAATAATATAATAATTATATTACATGCTTATTCTGTTCATACCTATACATGAAAAGCAAGTAGGCCTAGAGCAAGTCATTTTGTACCGGTAGATATTATTGCGCCGTGTGATTCAGCCATGTATTGACCTCTGACCTCCGACAAACTTCATACAGAATTGAAGATATTATGTATCTCTCTGTATGTTTATATAGTGGAAAGATACCACAAATGTATATATTTCGAATTAAACGTAAAGTTACTGCGAATTAGCTTCGCTTAGCATTCACACGGAGAATTTAATGGGAATTAGTTAATTCAGATTAATTCACTGTGCGTTAAATTACTCCGGACCGTGGCTTGAGACGATGCATTACTCCGTGTGAACGCTAAGCAAAGCTAATTCGAATTAAATTCTGACGCATGAGTAATGGCAAACTTGAGTCAAATGCCACTTGTCGGTGGTCAGCTATAGGTACTTGTGCTATTTTTGAGTGAAAAACTAAAGAAAATTTGTTTATCATTAAAACATGTATACAGACACTTTGTCATCATGTCAAATGGATCTGTTTCTGCATAAGGTGACGTGATTTGCAAATGACGTCATAATAGCTGTGCTGATGCCGGGCTGCAGATGTGAAATTTTGATTCGCATTAGTTTACTTCGCATTAATTTACTGCGAATTAAACTCGTCGTGTGAACAGGGCACTAGATATGCTTTGATACGAGGGACGTTCAATAAATAATGTCATCAGGGCTGGGAAAGAAGCAAAAGACGCTTTTCAATGATTTAGTCTTCATGAATTTGCTTATTTGTCTCTTTTGATTAAAACAGATGTCCGTAAATTTTTTATCTAATTTCTGATTGTATTTAGAACTCATTTTTGGGTATGACCCTTAGTATACTGGAACATGGCAGATCCAATGATTTCCTGGACTTGTTTCTTCTTTCTGAGAGGTGGTTTTTCAAGTTTGGAAATAGAAACAAGTCAAAAGGTCAAAGATCTTGCGAATATTGTTAATGTGAAAAAATATTAACTTTCTTTTTATCCCGAAAACCCCTTTACTCTTCAGGGGTGCGGGTTTGGACGCTGTCATGAAGAAATTTAATGTAGTTGATTCCTGATTCTAGGTCCTTCCTCTAATAAACCTTTCGATTTTTTTTTTGCAAAAAAATTGCTTTCTAGACTCCTCCAGAAATTAAACTGTCTCCCCGAATACGAAATTGAACAACAGTACCACTAATATTTAAGAAAATTGCATATTAATCTGTCCTTGGTCTCTTGCATACCTTTGCTCTTGTCGGACCATTGCTGTTTTTATCAAGTACATCTTATGGTAAATTTTGTATTGAGTGTTTTAAGCAATAGATTCATGTTCCATTATCTGTTTGAATATGAAACAAACGTGGATAACTACAATTATTGATATTTTAAAATAATTGTTAAGACATTCCTACACGCTGTCGTTTTCACTCATTTTTCAAAATAAAGAGTGATCTTTGAGTACCAAGCTTTTTTACCGTCAAACGCTTCTTAGAAATATTGTAAACTACTCCCGATATGATGTCTATTAAATTTGCTATGTGTCTCAAAGTCAGTCATACATCATCAGATATTATTTGTTGAAATTGAGCAAATAGTACATAAGTTTTAGTCATTTTTTGTCATTGAAATCCGCTTGCTTATTTGTCTATAAAACAGGCAATGGTTGATGTAAATGTCATGTATTTCAGTGAAAATTTCTGTGAGATTTACAGCAGCTTTAATGAAACTTTTATTTTCACTCTAGTTTACTGATTCTTTACCATTCATTCATAATGCAGTGTCTCGAATAGCCATTGTTTCCCAGCTTCTCACGATGAAACTATGTGATGAAAAGTGGTCAAATAAACTGTTATCAATTCATTAAAGATTCAATTATGAGAGAAAGTCTAGCTTAATGTCATATGATTTCTATGTTGTAAGTAATCGAGCTTATGACATTATTTATTGAACATCCCTCGTATACTGTCTTCTACGTTAAACTTTTCTATTTAATTACAAAAATTCATAGAATAAATTACCGCAACCAAACACTAAGGTTTAAACCATAGATGTAGGTTTTTTTTATATAGACAGGGAATAGCTGTCTTCTCTTCAGCAGGGTCGGTAAAATGTATGGATGTGACCTTAACATCAGCATTAATGGTCGCACTAAGCTAATTAGGAAAAAGTTATTCCTATTTTAATGCAATTTATCTTGGTGTTCTTCTCCTCGTTTTTTTTTTTTTTTTTTTTTTTTTTTTTTTTTTGTGTGTGATATATGAAATACTTAGTACGTAATCTAGCATCATGTTTTGCTTTGTTCTGTTATGCTGCTATGCTTAAAAGCTTTATATCTCTTTAATGATCGTTTAACTGTCTTATGGACAGATGACACAAATTTTTATCAAAAATCCTGACAACATAAACTTAGACATGTTTACACAATTACATGTAAAAAAAAGTGTCTATATTTATATGTTATATAATCTAGTAGAATAAACTTTTGAATGCCAGGAAAAGCACGGATCAGTGTATCTCTTGGACATTCATTGTATTTTTCTATCATCATTGTTGTATTTTTCTCTGATAAGGTTGTGTTTTTCTCTGACATTTGTCGAATTTTCTCTGATCTCCTTCACCATTGCTGTATTTTTTCTGACACTCGTTGTATTTTTCTTTGACCAATTATGTGTTGTATTTACTCGGACATTTCGTAGTATATTTTCTTTGACCATTGTTGTATATTCCCTTGACTATTGTTTTATTTGTCTTTGAAAATTGTTGTATTTTTCACTGACCTCTGTTGTATTTTTCTTTAAATATTAATTTTCGCAGCATACAAATTACCTCACAACAACCTACGCATGTATATTTTGAAGAATATAAGGTTTATATGATGTTTCTATATAGACTGAATCCTTCATAGAAGGAATTTGAAGTATTTTACTTCGTTTTAACTATGAATTACTTCTTAGGCGTCAGAATCCTCTGTTCTAAACTAGACTCTGGAATTTCGATCTCTTGAAGCGCGCAAAGAACAAGGTTCACTTATGGCCTCTTTGGCCCTGTGATTTTTTGAAAAACTGAAACTGCTTAATTTTAGTTAAGGTCAAGATCTAGTAAATGACTTTAGAATAACTGTTAAGTGCTAAATCTATTATGACGTCATAATCACTTTCAACTTTCTTTTTCCCGTACTTTACGGTATTATGTAGAAAATGCATGGAATTATATCACATAGATTTAACATTATAGTAAAGTAGCTCTAGACTAAGAACATACAAATAACCGTTTTCTGAAAAACTGTAGGCAATCTGGATACCTTTTCTTTGTCTGATATTGGAAAAACTCCCATTTCCATTACTGTTTTTCTTAATTTTTCATTGAAAATGACAGTTTAAAATATGGTTTTTCATCTTGTTTTTCTACAAATTATGCCCCGAAACACCTATTTTGACCAAGGTAATGTTATAAAGCATCATTAAAGGAATTAATTTCTTAAATTTGAAAAATCTGTAGGCACCTTCCATTTACTAGATCTTGACCTTAAGAATGCATTAAAAATTATTTAGACCTTTGGCAATTGCATATATATCATAAATGATGTAAATTTCCGGCTAGTCAATGCATTATGACGTCACGAAATTATCCTTATTTTCTGGAAAAAAGTCTACAATAACAGCCAATTTTTAAAGCTATTTTTAAAAAGCTATTTTTCAATATTTAATAATATAAGTGCAACCTCTGATCTAAAATAAGCAAATAGTGAATGATAGAACTGTTTCTGAGGATTACAAGACATGTTTTATTGTTTAGATCAGAGGGTGCTCTTATATTATTTTCTTCTCTGAAAGTACTCAAATATACCTGTTTACATTAAAATTCAAGAACATTGCAATTCCATAAAGCCTCTGTTCCAAGACTTGGAGTTTAAGAAGAAAAGTAATTAAAGTACTAAATCTCAATTGATTTATGTTTAAAATGGAACATAAAGTGTTAGTCAATAAATTGGTATGTTTACAAGGCCGTTTTATGCATAAAGTGAACCGAGGCAGTTATCGTTTGGCAGACATTCTTTCTCTTTATTATGTATTTTAGACATGTTCTACACTTTGCTCAAGGGTATAATAAGAACCGCCCTTCAATTTATTTATCCCTTGTGGACCTCTATTTTCAGAGTATAAATGTGTGAGCCTGCAGTGTTATAATAGAAACCTCAGACTAATTTTCACAGACAAGTCTATCTTTAGTTTCGTCTTAATTATGTTAAATCCTATAGGGAAAACTGACCTATTTTACAAATTTACATCCAGACACAAAGTATTCAAATTAATCTATTTTCTGTTAGAATGCAAACGATAATTCTATTATACAAACAAGTCAGAGTGTTCGAATAACGGAGAGTTCTGAAGGCAAATGTCAAACATTGGTCATGTAGATCGTCCCTATTATACTTAGCTTCTAGCTTATCACTCAGAGGCAGTAAATCTATAGTGACACACTATAATTCATAAACATAAACTTGCTAAAATGTAAAGAAAAAACACGGTTAATTTTTACTTAGTTTCAATCAGCCTTTGAGAAATTATAAATCATAACCTATTTCACTGCATAAATCATAACCTATTATCTGGCACTAAGTATAGTATGATCAAATGACACATTATTCTTACTGAAAAGCCAGAATGTTTTTCCAATTGGAAATGTACCAAGAACTGCACGTTAAACTTCTTTTTATTTGATAAAGTCAAAACCAAGCGATTAAACAGGTGTTAAACCGTTGGGATCGTATAGACCGACATAGACCACGTGTTGTTTTCTGTGTTTTAGATGTACGTCTACATATCTGTCAATCAATATATTCTAGAAGAGCACATCCTAGACCAACTGTTTCACTTTTTTTTTCTGAAGGCTTATTTCATATATTTGAGACTACACAATTATATATTTTCAAATGAAAGCGTCAAGTCTAAGTTGCTAAATGATTGCAAAAGAAATTGTAATTTTATATATACATGTTAAACAGCAAAATGCATTTCTGATACATATTGAGAAACTGAGGCCTTGTGTGAAGGCGTCGTTGGCACGATAAAGAGTCCTCACTGCTCAATGGCCCAGAGTGCCGAGTAAAGGTCTAAATATAGACCTTCACTGGAGGGTGTTTGGTGGCGTCCTTATATGAGTTAAAATTCTAGAATGGGACGAAAACAACATACAATCAATAAACACCATTCTTTGTTCAAACACAGCATTTTATTCATTGTACGATCGTGATAATGTTGTCAGCAAATATAACCTAGCATTGAGTTCTTGGTTGGCTGAAATGTTTCATACCAAGGAACAAGGGAAGGCGTTTGTTTTGATGCTGAATTCTAACACGAAATATATAGGGTTCACAGTGGAAGTGGCTGGTCAACAGTGGATAATTACTCTTCCTAGGCCCCTTATTCTTCCTCTGGAAAGTACAGGGGTTCGTGTTTTATGCTCTGTTTATTGTTTTTATTGATTATAGATTTTGTAGATCAACCATTGTACGTTATCTTCTCTATATCACACACACACACACACACACACACACACACACACACACACACACACACACACACACACAGAGAGAGAGAGAGAGAGAGAGAGAGAGAGAGAGAGAGAGAGAGAGAGAGAGAGAGAGAGAGAGAGAGAGAGACGCAAATATTAAACCTAGTGTAGATTCTCAAACCCTGACCTGAACGTAAGTAAAAGTTAGACTTACGCATTATAGCTGTTGATGTAAGTCTCTCCTCCAATCTTTCTTCGTTCAGATTTATACCCATAGTGACGCAATCGTCATCTGTAATATATACAATATACCTATATAGTGACGCAACCAACCTCTGCAATACATGTATACATACAATTTACCCACGGTGTCAAAACATTTCTTGCAATATAACAATTTACCCATAGTGACAAAATCATTTGCTTATACAAAATATGCACATTATGATATAATTATCATCTATGATATACCCTGAGTATGATATCATCATCTGCATTAATCATAATCATGATGTCACAATTATCATAATTACCTTCGTAATATACCTATTGCGATACAATCATCATTTTTAAAATTCTACCGTTGTTATATTGACCTTATTAGCAAAGATAACCTATCACTGGGTCATGTTTTGGTGTACCATCCTGTACACCATGATGTTAATATAGCATTTGAATTTAACTAACCTTCCCACTTCTTCTGCAGTTCTGTTTCTATTTCAATGCAACAGTGCACATTTAGGCGACATTTAATAAGATAATTCTGCAAATGTAAACTACGAAAGTTCTATTTTTTTTTAAGACAGAACTTCAAAAGCAAACGTTTTAGTACTTTCAGCACAGATATGTTATAAACTCTTTCTTGTGAAGTAAAAGTAAACATTTTATACTGAAACATTTTATACTGGACATAAAAAATTCAGTTTTAACTTTCTTATTGCTATTATGAAAGGTAAATATAGGGCTGACAAAGACCAAGATTTAAAAGATTGTTTAAGAAGAAAGAAGGAATAATGCATAACACATTACTAGTTACAAACAATCGAATTGTTTTCCTGATCGATTATCGGAAAAATCAGACTCACAAAAATGATAAATAATCGATTAATTCGCTAACAGTTGAATTAAAGATAAAACTGTAAAAAAAAAAGTGATCATTTCGAAAATGCTTGTTTTGGTGCATTTTGTATTAATGGATTCTTTCATTAAATTATTACTTACCGATGGGTAAGACATGAAAATGAAGACATTAACACTTTGTCTGAATGAATGAAATGTATCAGATGTATGTTAAAATCGTGTATTATAAGATTAAGGGGCCATATGAAAACCATCTATCCTTCTGTATCCAGTAATCCAGAAGTTAACAAAAAGAATTTGATAGAAAATGATCAGTACGTAATGGTCCCTGCTGACAAAGCAGGTAACAATATTGTCTGCATTTATGAGGCTCATTATATAAAAAGTATTTTAGAGGAACTTGGATTTAATTCTTTGAGTGGTAATCCAACTAATACTCATAGTTCCCTTTCTTAGGAAGAAATACTTCAAAAAGCATATGTCAGTTTTGGATATTTTAACATTCAAAACAACCAAAGAGAATTTGAATTACCGTATCTATAATGGATTCTGAAACTTTATTAGAAATTAGCAGGTTCCAATAAATGTTTAACCAAATCCGGATATTTTTTTTATATCATTGACAGCTGCTTTTTTAATAAAAATGAGACTTCCAAATTAACTTACCTTGTTATGGTCATTTGCAAAATTATTTTGTTAAAAGCATTCTGTTGCACACACACGTGCTCTGAAGTTGATATCAAAAACATACTTGAATTTCTGATTGACAATATCTATGTGGTTTTTGGAGACCAGGTCTTCCAACTATCTAATGAAATTCCCATGGGTACCAATTGCGCTCCGTTATGGGCAAACCTAGTTTTGTATTCATGTGACGCAGAATTAGTCCAAAATATTATAGGTGAGAAGAAGAAAACACTTGCTTGCCTTCACCTCGACATTCAGATATATTAACGACGTATTGTCAATTAACAATAGTTATTTTCATTCTTACGACGATTTGATATATCCCAATGAACTTGAGATAAAATTTACACCCGAGTCTGACATTTCTGTTTAATATTAGATATCGTACTTAAAAAAGACATTAATGGTAATATAACAAGCAACAATGGCACTGAAAGTTTTGCATTTTCAGACATAGATAAAATAGAACTATTAAACAAATATTTCACATCAATTACAGATGACAGTAATCACGAGCTCCCAAATATAGTGTCAAGATGTACAGATAATTTTCCACACATTGAAATACAAGAGCAAGAAATCATTGATATAATTTCTATTATTCCTGTCAATAATGCCGTAGGTCCTGATTGCATCAGTCATAAAATGTTAAAATCTTGCAAAGAAACTATCTCAAAACCTTTGTGTATACTATTCAACAAATCCCTAACACTAAAAACATTTCCAGACTGCTGGAAACTAGCACATGTTCTTCCACTTTTTAAGAAAAATGACCCTTCCATCACCTCAAACTATAGACCAGTTTCTTTGCTGAGTTGTATAAGCAAAATTTTTAAAGAATAATTTTTAAGCATGTTTACAATTTCTTGTATTCACATAATATATTTTATAAATACCAGGCAGGTTTTTTACCAGGTCATTCCACAGTATTAATATCAACTCTTAGAAACATACCATTCTATAGTAAAAAGTGTTGATGAAGACAAATTCTGTTGTATGGTGTTTTGTGATTTATCAAAGGCATTTGATAGGGTCTGGCATAAAGGCTTAATTTACAAATTAAAATTGTATGGAATAAATGATGATATGCTAGATTGGTTTGATAGTTATTTAAGCGAAAGAACCCAACAAGTCATGTATAGAAATCATTTTTCCTCTGTAGGACAAGTAAAAGCTGGAGTTCCTCAGGGCTCAGTACTTGGTCCCCTATTATTTTTATTGTATGTAAATGATGTGGCTGAAAATATGATATCTGTTTGCAGACTATTTGCTGATGATAATTCTTTACAACAATGTTCAGATAATATTAATCATATTGAACAAAATCTTAACCATGATCTCAGAATACTAGATGAATGGTCAAAGAAATGGTTATTGAAATTTAATCCACAGAAAACCAAAGCAGTATTTTTTAATTTGAAAAATGTACAGAATTTTCCTAAATTATTTTTTGACAATTGCCAATCGGAATATTTTACAGAACACTAACATCTTGGGATACTTCTGTCGTCTAACTTAGGATGGTCTGATCATATTGATACCATTATAAAGAAAGCATACAAAAAACTGGGGCTTCTTAAAAAATTAAAATTTACGGTGTCAAGAGATATTCTATCCCAGATGTATATATCTTTTATTAGACCACAACTTGAATATTCTGTTGAAGTTTGGTCTGGATGCACAAAAACAGACATTGAGAATCTTGAAAAAGTACAATTATTTGCTGCAAGAATAGTTACTGGGCTTACAATTATTGCTTCAAGAAATTCATTATATTTGGAAACAGGCTGGGAACCACTGGAATATAGAAGAAATAGGGCAAAACTAATAACAATGTATAAAATGCACAATAATTTAGTCCCTATTTACTTGAAAAACTTAGTACCTGATACAAGAGGCAATATTTCAGGATACACTACCCGGAATTCTTTAAATTATTCTTTGCCAAAATACAGATTAGAACTCTACAATAAATCATTTATTCCCGATACTGTTAGAAAGTGGAATTCCCTTAGTCTAAAAACAAGGGAGGCAACTTCTATTAAAATTTTCAAAAACTATCTGCAAAATAGTAATGTAAAACCTCAGAAATATTTTTCTTATGGAAAAAGGTTTTTGAACATAATTCATACAAGATTAAGACACAATTGTATTTTAAAGTCTGATTTATATCGCTGTAACCTAATAACCAGTCCTAATTGTTCTTGTGGACTACTAGAAGATGCATATCATCTGTTTTTTGTTTGTAAATATTATGTAAAAGCAAGAAATTCCTTAATGAATAAGCTATTGTCATTAAATTATTTACATATTATAGATGTACATTTAATGCTATGGGCCGATGATTCTCTAACTTTTGAACAAAATGTTGAACTTTTCAAGACTATTCAAACTTTCTTAAATGAATGTGGTCGTTTTTCAAAATAACTTCTTTTTTTTTCTCACCATCTCAAATTATATTTGTATATTTAAAGTATTTATTCCTTTCTATTGCTACAATATATACAATGTATGTAGTAGACCATATGTATATATATTTGTTTTACTTTGGCAATTTCACAAAATGTTATATTAGGAGAGGACTATCTAAGTTACTGAACTTGTGTCCGATCTTTTTGACTTTGTCAATAAAATATGTTCAATTCAATTCACAAGCTTTATGATAAACGTGATGCCTTCACACTTTTCCATCGTAAACTTCCCTTACTAATGCAGTAATATACTTTCACCATCTGTATACGAGGATCATATCTCTCAGTTAATTCGATACGTAAGAGCATGCTCTACGTATGTATAATGTATAAAACGAGTTAAATTATTGACAAACAAGTTGCCAACAGGAATATCAGATGTCTCGTTTAAAGTCATCATTTTCTATGTTCTATGGTCGATACAATGACCTTGTCAATAAATACAATTTATCTCTGAGTCAAACGCTTACTGACGTTTTTCATACTTATTTTAGACAATTATTTACACACTGAATTGTCGAGAGATTTATCTCGTTCTTTCCCGATCATGACAAGGAGAACGCGACAGCTATGACCGGTCAGCAGGAGATTCTCACTCCTCCATGGCACCGGATCCCACCTCTGATGTTTTGGAGGTCCGTGTTTGCTCTGCTCCTATTTTGTAATGTTTAATGGACTTTTGAGCTTGAATACTGATAGTTAAAATGTTTCAAAACAGCATTAATTTACATGCATAGAAGAATAATGGGGGAAATCATTTGGAAAAAATTCATAAATCTAATATTTCATTGATCAATTATCAAAATTATTTATTTATTTATAAGCATGAGTAATTTTTCTGAAATAATCGATTTAATTGATCAATTGGTACATTCACTCTATACCCCTGAAACGTGACTGTTTTATTCGAACGTTGATAATTTTTCTCTGTACATTTATGCATACCTTTTTTCCGTACACGATAATGAATAATTTCTCATGTGACTGTTCTGGGATAATGTTCATCATGTTCGATAATCAAAGCGGAAAAACACCTGAAGTAAATGAAGTCTTGCTGTGTATTTTTCAACCTACAGACTACGAGGTTAAAGCGTGTTGAGACAATGCAGTGTTACAACGCACTTTGAAAAATTACGCACTTTGAAAAATTTTTTCAAAGTGCGTTAAAATTTGGGACCAAGCTAACGCACTTTGAAAAAAATTTTTTTTTTCCAAAGTGCGTTAATATGGACCATATTAACGCACTTTGAAAAAAAAAGTAAAGATTGATCAATATTCCTTCAAATAATCGGTATGATAAACTGATTCTGGTTTGATAACTTTTTTATGATAAAGTCACACCTGAGATATTGACGTTTTAAATATTTAAGGTTTTGATAAAATAAAAGGGAAAATTTTTGTCATACCAGTTGTAATTATATTGCAAGCATAAACACCAGACTGGGCGAAGGGCCAGGGGACGAGGTTAAAGATATATACATGTATAAGCATTGAAAATGCAATGCTGTTATGACGTTTGTTACCGACACCTATGTATTGGAAAGAAATAGCATAGTTTTACGGGAGTAAATCAATTCATTTTTGAGGTTAGGGTTAGGCTTAGTTGAAAGATAAATAAGTAAAATAACAAATAAAATCTTTCCATGAATAAATATGATTTTTTTTTCATTAAAAATATTGATTACATTTCACATCAAACGTCAGAGTTCTTTTTTTTTCATTCAAACTTTTGAAATCTACAATTAATTAAAATCCCATAATAGGGGCGTTGGAAATATAAATTCATTTGAAATAATCACTAATTTACTTTAAACAAAAAGGAGCAAACTTCACATTTTCAAAATGTTTTTCAACTGTGTAGTAAGGATGAAAAACAAAGACCATTTAGAAGAATCAATATGTTTTACATTATTAACCCAATAAACAAAGTACTTCAGGAATAACTTTCTTGTCTAATTTTATTTGGTTTGTCAAAAGCAAGAAATCCAACAAACACCATTAGGGTGATAACTAGTCAATCTTTATCGATCTCATGTCTCTGCGTCAGCTGACAATTGGGAGTAGGGTTCAGTTTTCAGAAGAACCGCTATAAATAACAAAGGGTCAGAAACATTTACTTTTTCCTAATAATAAATATAAGAGAAAAATCGAAAAACATTCTATTAAAATAGGATGAAGGTATTTTGAATAAAGATAGAAATCCAAATCAGTAATATTTCAAGATATTATCTTTTAAAAAAGCTTAAAACTAGTAAAATACATTGAGTTTTAAACAATGTTAGACGAACATATTTTACTTTGAATAAAACAAATCTCACTCAATAGGGGGGTATTTTTTTCATAACAAGCAGAATTATTGATGTCGAACATAGAAGACGAAAATAAAGGCTACATAATCCATCTGGCCATATTGACCGGAAGCTGGAGGTTAAAATAGATTTTTCTGTTGGAAAGGCTGTTCGATAATTACATGTGTACGTATAATTACAATCCAGATATTAATTTCTAAATTTTATATTTTCTGAATACATACGGTCCTCCTTTCTCTATCTGGGATTGTTTTTATTGTTGAAGATAGATACTTCTTTCCTTTTATCATTAAATATTTGTATTGAAAATAACTGTTTTATACATGCATTATATATATTATATATGTTAGGATATTTAAAAAGATGTGTCATATATTCATATTTCGTATGAAGCTTCATGCAAAAGAATTAAGGCATTTTAAATCGTACAGGCACAGGGGCAACAAAATAAGAACACATAATTTAAATTATAACTAGTTTATGATAGTACACAGGAATTTAAGTTAAAAGAAATTGATAGATGTATCTACCCATCTTTGTGGGTGAAGATCCCTTTCCATATTCAAAAATAATTTACCAACGGGATTGAATATACCGTGCCAGTTTTTGAATACACCTCACAGATTTACCAGAATGTTGATCGAAAGTTTCTATCAAACCACTGACCTGCATCTGGGTACACAGTACAGAAGCGAAACAGTCCGGACCGAACATACACTGGGAGTTTGATGGTCATGTTTTCAATGACGCCGTCCATTTCTTCTTCTGTAAACAACCAGGAATCAGTCGCCACAGACAATGATAGGGTGCCAATAGAAATAGCACCCAGCACAAACGAACTCAGAGTCAGAGCTTTAGCCCCACAATACATCGTCTTGTTATTTGTATAACATTTACACATACAAATATTTAGAGCACATATTGCTGGTTTTGTCTCCTGATAAGGAAATTATTCTTCACAGTGATCCACCAGTATCACTTTATTACTGTATCGTTATGCATTTCCTTGAGGCACACTTTATTTTCCTTTGTTTCTGCATTCATTCACTTATTACTGAAAGAGCTGCCTCGCTGAAAATTGGATCCCTTGGCATCTATTGATATAAAAGTTACAACGCCGTGCTTAATCAGAATAATGGAGCAATACAATCCACTGTAGACTTATATGGGAATTTGTTTAGAGATGATGATGGGGGGAACCAATGCTGAGATGTGATTACTATATCTCGCCGGAAAATTGATCTTTACCGGGCATTTGTTTGGCTGCTTCACAATGAAGCCTACTTGTCCTGGACATGTATATAACAAAATCCATTCAGTCCTCTATTTTTTAATACAGGGATGTTTAGCGAGTTACTTATTATTTATTTCATTCAAATGTCCCACCTCTATTAAGTAATACATAATGGTCTTCTTAATTTTTTCAATCAGGTATACCTTTTTTAATAGAATACATGTCAATGAAGAAATAAAAAGAGAAATGAATCGTAAAAGCCACTTGTAGAAAACCTCTGAATGAATATGTTATTATACCATGAACGGCAGCAACGATAACTTATTTTCTGTCTTTCACACAGGTAGCTTGCATATGTTATTCAATTTAAACTTTGTTGAAAATGCATTTTAATATGTTCCTTGTTTAATATGAAAAATATATAACTTAACCTTTAGAAATATTAATGAAACAGGTAGAGATAACGAACAGTGTTCAAGATCAAAAGTCCATAAAAGCTATACAAAATAGGAGCAGAGTTAATACTGACCTCCAAAACATCAGAAGTGGGATCAGGTGTCATAGACACTCCTGTGTCATAGAGGAGTGAGCATTCGCTGCTGACCGGTTACAACTGCCATGTGCTCCTTGTCATGATCGGGAAATAAAAAAAATTCGTCGTCAATTAATGTATAATTTATCGAATAACAATTAAACAATGAATTTAATTGTTATCAAAGTTATACTGCTTAACCTGGGCAATTCAAGTTATGCTTTATAAAACCATAAAGCGCTTTGCGGTTTATAAGCAAGCGTAAACTGTTCCAACCCAGGTTATAACAATATAACTTGAGACGCTATATAATTTATGTCTTTTAATTTAATTAACCATAAAATTAAGTCAGTTGTCCAATTCTTCTTCAAGATAGCCTTCAAATTGATCATACTTAAAAAGTCAATTGAATTGATATGTTTTATGTAAGTCAAAGTGACGTAGATAACACAATTTATATGTTTATTCTATCAGATGATGCATTACAACCAAAATTATTTATATACCTGTATACTTTGATGAGATAGATATTCCCCACTATAACGAATTAAAATTTTGAAACTTGGATACATAGTTACAAATTTTGCCCCCCCCCCCCCCCCGGCGAAAATAAGCATACTTTACATCCCTTGTTATAAAAACCTATATAGGAGATGAAGAAAACAAATGCAGTGGCCACTAACCTTCAACAATTAGATTTTTATTTACGACGCATCAGAATAGTTATTTCAATAGTTATATTCATTAGCCTATCGACATGATATAGAGAACTTGAATGAATAATACCACAAAGCCTGGCACATATGTTACATATTTGAAAAGGACTTTAATAGTAGCACAACAGCAAAATTTTATATAAACATGGAGGATTCAAATTTTTTACTTTAATTTTGGTAGCAATTTTGGTAGCAATATACTCTGATCACAGTTGATATGCAAGAAGATTCTCTACGGAAAAGCATTTTTAAAACTATGCAAGCTATTGACATCAAAGCCAATGAAACAAAAATGACAACATTTTTCATTTGAAATCATCATTTTGCAAATTCCATAGTCAATATAATAACCTTGTCCGTAAATGAAATCTATCATTTAGTCTGGTCGACGTTTATCATACTAACTTCAATAGACTCTTAAACCTTTATTTATACACATTGAATTGTCGACGGATTTTTCCGTTTTTCCGGTCATGAAAAGGAGCACAAGGAGGATGTGAGTGATCGACAGGGGATGCTCATTCCTCCATAGCACCGAATCCCTCCCCTTATGTTTTAGAGGGATCTGTATTTTACCTCTCCTCTCAAACTGTATAGTTTCCATGGACCTTTGACTTTGGACTCTGTTCGTTATCTCCACATTTCATATCATTTTAAAGCATCGTAGCCCGTGGCCTCTGTAGCAAAATTTTGAACCAACGGTAGATTTAACATTTCATAAGTTTTTTTTGTCTTGATATTTATACATTACTATTTGAATGTATTTTTTCGTTGCATTTTAAAGACAGATATAAGACAGATATAAAGAGAGATAGATAGGTGTATGTGTCTTATTTGCTTTTAGCAAATGTCTGAGTTTTCAAAGTTTTCAAAGAAAGATAACTCTAAATATCTGAAAATTTTATAAGCTCTCATACAGATATATCATCACGTTCCAAATAATGTTAATGTTATATATAATTTATTGGAGTAGTACTTCAATATACAATTTAGCATTAAAAATGGCATTTTGATTCACTCTAAATATCTGAAAATCTTATAAGCTCTCATATAGATAAGCTGAAGTAAAATATCATCATGACGTTCCAAATAATGTTAATGTTATATATAATTTATTGGAGAAGTACCTCAATATACAATTTAGCATTAAAAATGGCGTTTTGATTCACTCTAAATATCTGAAAATCTTATAAGCTCTCATATATACTTTTTGATACTTTGATTAACCATGAAGCATGACTATAACAATAAAATTGGGTTGTAAAATCTCTTTGGTTTTTGTAAGATGTCTTATAAACTTAGATCTAATGTGGCACAAAAATATCTCTCGCTATATCAACGACATACTACAAGAGTAACCGTTAAACATTTGTTTGCATTCTCTAGACGGACTTGCTAAAATGGGCCATCTGACATCAATTTTTTAAGCTGAGAAAACGATTATGTTTTTCTCCTGAAATTTCTAATCCCATCAACAGGTATGATGATTTTTATTAAATTCCCACCTACCTACCGACCCTATTTTTTTACCCTGAGTCGGGAGAGGGCAAACAAACATTATTTTAGAGATGACCCAATACAGGTCTACAGAAAATTAAAAGATTACGATATATGGAGATCACGTGTAGTATTTAAGCTCATAAGTCCATTCAAACAGTACACATACTAACCGTCAGAGTGATTAATCTCATCATATTTTAACAAAAAAAAAATGGATTAAGCACAGAAACCGTGAGATACCGGGAATGAAATCAGGTAGTTAGAAGGTCAAACATTCCCTGGAGGCAGTACATCCGTCATGAGTTTTGATCTGGGAAACTGAGTAATTCAATTATCAAAATAAGAATAAAATCAAAAACTGTTTAATAATAGAGGTACCAAGAGCAGCCCATCATAAACGTACTTATTATTTTTGTATTCATATCAAACAGAATTTGTCCAAAATCTTATACATGAAAAGAAAACACTTGTTGTGGCTTTCAACTCGACATTCAGACACTCGACGACTTATTGTAAATTTACAACGGTTATTGCCATTCTTATGTCGATACGATATATTCCGGCGAGCTTGAGATAAAAGGTATTACAGAGTCTGACACATCTGTTTCATATTTGGATATATTACTCGAAAAAGACGTTAATGATAATCTAACAACCAAGCTCTATAATTAACGTGATGTTTTTTTTTTTTACTTTTCTATCGTTAACTTCCATTTTACTTATGGAGCAATATACCTTTAGGACCAGCATACGGGGTTTATATTACTCAAATGAATCGATACACATGAGCATGCTCTACGCATGTACGATTTCTAAATCGAGGAAATAATTGACAACCAAGTTGATGAAACAAGAATATCAGCAGTCCCGTTTAAAGTGATCATTTCGTGAGTTCTATGGTCGATGCAATAACCTTGTCAGCAAATACATGTACAATTTTCATTATGTAAAATGCTGACGCTAATTTCTCGCTAATTTTAAGCCAGGTCGGCAGGGAATGCTCACTCCTCCGCATGGCACCTTATCCCACCTCTGATATTTTGTAGGTCTGTGTTTGCTCTCTCCTATTTTGTATTTTTGTATGGACTTTTGAGCTTGAATACTAAAATCATTGAATCGAGTCTGTTAATATGCTTGTTTCAACAATTTGTCTGTCAATGGTAAACCACGATCAAAAGGTTTAAAGTTCATATATAAATCTGTTCATCAAAAAGGCATTTTTAAATAAATATGTTTTCATGAAATTGCTCACCCTTTTTGTGTTAAAATTTCATATTCAGCAATTCAGCATTTAAATCGAATTCCTTTTAAAATAAGCCTTTAAATTTTTAGGCACGCTTTAATTACTTTAAACCTTCGTCAAGTTCAGCTAAAGGTCAGACACAGTGCATTACAATAATCTTAGAACACTTAGCATCATTTCATCAGATTTTCTCTCTATATAACCTCGTATTATAAAGATTGATGATGAAGTTTATCTATTTTTCTTAAATAATTTTTTTTATCCGACCGCGAATAGTTAATTTTCCATATGTCAGATGGATCAATAAATGATTTTGCTTCTTTCAATCCAAAGTAAGTTTGATGTGATGTTTTGCGAAGCTTAAATTTAGTTTCAAAGCAGTCCGTAAATATGAACAAAATGTTTGTTGAAAAAATAAAGTCCAATTTCGACAGGTTTGATGCGACAAAAGCAATCCTGCGGCAAGTTTCACATCTTTGTTGATGGGGTGGGAACCTGGGTCAGTCAAGGTCTCGTCGTGATCCGTTTTTCATGAACTCTTTATTTATCTAAACATTAGTTTTAGGCATGATATCTTAATGAACATACAACACCCACGATTTTACTTTGCCATTCCAAATTTACAATATGTAGTGATCATATCATTGGACTCGGATCGGGCTCTGTTGGGTCATCTCGATTTTTTTTTTAAATTGGTACATCGCCGACTTAGATATAATAACAAACTTAAAAGTAGTTAATACATCGACCACTTAAACCACGAAATATCGGGCCCTGCTGTACCGGCTACAGATTTAAACATCTATAAGATAAGAACTTATTAGACATGAACCCAGAAAGGTTGTTACGGTTAATTTAATCAGTCCATATACATATTCTCATTAGTATGTTTTCATACACCATAGCAACATTAAGCTAATGGTTTACATGAAGTGTGAGAGATCATGGGGTCAAATTCATATAGACGATCTTTATATTATAGGGATAAAAATTATAATGCATTCCCATTTCTGTAAACTGTGAAATATAGTTATGAAAATATGAAAAAAGTTCTAAGGCGAAGTGGGAGTTGAGAATTGATTTCTTTGTAGAAATGATAATTGTAAATTAATTAGATGGTTGTTTTGCCGATGAGTTTATTACACAGTTAAAAAGGAAATATTTTGGATGTAAAATGAAAAAAAGTACAAAAAATTATAGGAAAATATTAATGTTGACCTTTACAGTCAATGTATAAGTAAAAAATAAGAATTTTCTTTTTAAAAGTCATAAATATGTAAATTATTTTATAGATCAAGTATGGATCAAATATTTTATGCAAATGCCAATAAGTCAGTATTTTTAATGCTTGGATTCTTTTGAATTAACTTTTTCCTCAAATTTTTTTTTGGCACAATATTCACAAAATGACTCATTTTCTGTGAGCAAATAACTTGAAATCTCTGAAATTTGGGAAATTTTGCAATGCAATGCAAACGATACTTATACGCATAATTATATGTTTACATAAGTTTCCACATAAACCTGAAAAGGTTCTATTTAAGGCGTAATAGGAATAGCAAATTTTACAGTTTATTTAAAGAAACAATGCATATCACGACAAGTAAACAGAGGAACGAGCAATCAAAAATATTTAAAATACATGTATATAGGAAAAAAATAAATGATATATACACACCTACTGAACAGGTACTTACGGATATTTTAACGCGCATGCTTCGTTGAAATACTTAACAGAGGCTAAACAATAATATATTCATAAATTACATAGGTGGGAAAAATACTGAGTCTTAATATAGTTGAATAAATTTAAACACAGAATATGTCCAAAAGATTATGTTTGCATTTGCTTTTACAAACTTAACGAAAAGATTAATTCCTTAAATAATAATGCTATAATGATCAATGTATACTATTTCTTGATTTTCTATTCGAGAAAAAAAAATCATATTTGAAAGTTTCAAAATTTGAAATTTTGACATTTGTAAGAAATCAAGAGTTGATTTTAAAACGTAGATGTGTCCAATGTTGATATGATCATCCGTAGCGTAATTTATAAAGTCATATGATTTTTGTCGGACTGATGCGAATCACTCAATCCTTCACTATATTTAAAACAATACTACAAGTATTATAGAACTGTTGGAGAATTTTACATTACATTAGAAGGAAAAGTATACCATTTTAAAAAGAATAGGCATGACGTTTATAAAATTAGAATTTCAACTAACAGTAAGAACCAAGAAAAATCTCTCATCCATAAACACCTTTTACCTATCAACCCATCCATAAAAATATCACGTGATTTCAGATTCTTTAAAAGTGACCGCCAAATTTCAGACCTACAAAACAGAGCCAGGTTTCAGACCTTACAATAGACAGGATGGGAAAGTTTGTATTAGGTCTGTGTGTTTTCCTTGTCTTCCTTCTTGTCGAGCAGTCTGCCGGTTATAGATGGTCAAAATCACGACAGTCTCTAGGACAAAATAAGCTGTCTAATCGGCGGGCATTCTCCTCCCAACATGTAAGTATCCTACTAATTTATACTTTGAACGCCGTCAATCACAGAGGAATCAGTTAAAGAGTTTAAATTTATATCTATGAATTACCCTTATCATTGGTTATCACTAATGAAAAGTATAAATTGCATGGAAAATAAATTTCCACCCGAGCCTAAATCCGTTATAAGCAGACCAGATCTTTAAGCCGTTATTAGCATACTTGGTCTTAAATCCATTATTATCGGACCGCTCTTAAATCCATTATTAACAGACCCGGTCTTAAATCTATTATCAGCAGACCAGGTCTTAAATCCATTATTAACAGACCCGGTCTTAAATCCATTATTAACAGACCCGGTCTTAAATCCATTATTATCAGACATGGTCTTAAATCCATTATTAACAGACCTGGTCTTAAATGAATAATTAAGAGACTGCTCATAAATCCGTTATTTTACAGACTGCTCCCAAATCCATTATTAACAGCTCTTAAATCCAACATTAACAGACCCGGTCTTAAATCCATTATTAACAGACCCGGTCTTAAATCCATTATTAACAGACGCGGTCTAAGGTCCATTATTAACAGACCGCTTTTAAATCTATTATCAGCAGACCCGGTCTTAAATCCATTATTAACAGACCCTGAATTTGGAATTTTTATAATGCTGAAGGAAATAAAATACATGTATTATACATATAAAGATTTGATTGCTTATTCTTTACAGTAGAAGATTTTTTTTATGGAATATTTATCACACATCATAAATTTTTCATTTCACATGCTGAATACTATCATTTAGTAAAAAAAAAAGTATTTAAAAAAAAAAAAAAAAAAAGACAAGTCTTAAATCCATTATTGGCAGATGCAGAACTAAAGTCACATACATGTATATATTCATGTTTTCATCTATTTCAAAATTTTACACAATCCATGGTGTTTGATTTATTTAGCCTTTATTAAACAGTGCTAATAGATGTAATAAGAACATAAAGTCTGTTTTATACGCAATAAATCCATGTAATTATAAATACTAATAAAACAAACGGGGCGGGGCACTTTGAGAGGGGCTGAGTAGGGAGTTTTGGTATAAAATTACACCCATTATTAGAAATATCGCCCGGAAATGATAGTGTTACACACAGACAGAATGTATAAAATCCTTGAATTACCTTTTTCAAAACAGAGGCCACAGGGAGGTTTTAAAATTTCATTGTTAACAGACACAGTATTAAATCCATTATCAACAGACACAGTCTTAAATCCATTATTGGCAGACCTGGTCTTAAATCTGTTATTAGCAGACCCGGTCTTAAATCCGTTATGGCAGACCTGGTCTTACACCCATTATTAGCAGACCTGGTCGTAAATCCGTTTTTGCAGACCTTGACTTAAACTCATTATTGGAAGACCCGGTCTTACACCTATTATTAGCAGACCAGGGCTGGGTTTCACAAAACTATCGTAAGATTTGTCCTAAGCTAGATCCTACGATCATCTTAAGATCTGACTTATGACAATCATAAGATTTGTCACTGCTGTTTCACAAAACTATCTTACGTATAAGAAATCTTAAGACAAATCTTAAGACGAATTTCTTCTGAAATTTCACAGGGATTTTTTGTTAAATATATGTATGCAGAAGTTTAGATGCCTTTCCTTAATTTTGCAGATAAACCCTAGGAAAAAAGACATAAACATTTTATTGCATAAACTTTAATGTAATCAGGGTGTGTTTTCGTAAATGGCCAAAAAATTAAATTTGAATTAATTTCATCATAAAAAAATAATTGAATATAAATGCATTAAATTTACTCAAAAAATAGTATAATGACAAAAAACGATGTTTTTTTAATTAGCATCAACCTTTGCAATTAATGAATGATTGTGTGTGTTATGTTTTCATAAAATTCATATGCAACAAAATATCAATGCTAACAGATGAAAAGAAAGAAAAAAAAAATTTCTAATCAAAATTTTATAATTTCAATACTATTAAAAAAGAAGGAAGAAAGCATGTACATACAGCATCAAATGTTACAGCATATTTTCATACACAAATACCCCAAGGATAAAAACAATTATTTGATTTTATCTAATTTTGTACAACTGAATAAAATGTTTACTTTCTAATTTCTAAAAAAAAAATCACCATATAGTGTAACAAAATAAAGTAAAACGACTAAAAATGAAGTGTAGTTATATATAGGTATTTTCTTCACTTTCATGGACTTATCTGATCCCTAGAAATGCATATACTTCGTGTTTCTGTTTACTAAAAAGACATTAATGTACCCTATCAATAAATAAACTACAAATAAACAACATTTGTATATATCGAACACAGGAATTTTACTTAAATTAGCAATTCTTGGTCATAGTTATTGTGATATTCTTGCTTAATGAACAATTTTGAATAAAGTTATATATGGACGTATTTTACATAAATGTACATACATTCTAGCGATTTCAGTTCAAGCAAACAAAAAATGCATTGAAATGAATATAAACATTTTAAGTAGTTTTAGGTTTTCTATCGTTTATTTATTGAACAAATTATTTTTTGCGGGGGGGGGGGGGATCGTTAAAGGCATATATAGTCCAAAGGATTGTTCTATCACTAAAACCGTTTATCTTTAAATATCCTTAGGTTTTTAGCCAAAATATATACTGTCACCAGTTACACTTTAGAAAGACATGTTAAGATTTTGATAGATCTTAAGATTATCATAAGATATGACAGTTTTGTGAAACCTAAGCTAAGATAATTTTTGGTCTTAAGACAGATCTTAGTCATAGACAGCTTTGTGAAACTGGCCCCTGTTGTATAGAGAGGGAAACTATAGGCTTAAGCCTTGTTTTAAATAAATATTGTTTAAAGTATGTCGTCAGCATTCCTCGGTTTTACATTGTGAACTTGCGCAAAATCTTATGTGTGAAAGACAAAAACACTCGCTGTGTCCTTCAACTCGACATTTAGAATATATGACTTCATAACGGAGATAAAGGATTATGACACATCTCTTCATAGTTGAAAAATTCAATAACAACAATATATGATAAATGTTATGACTTTAAAATTTATGCTTACTTATCAATATACCTTCATCTCTAGTTGATTCAAACAATTTCTAAAACGAGGTAAATTATTGACAAGTTGATGAAACGAGATTAATGTCAACATTCTCGTTTAAAGTCATCATTTTATAGATCTATGGTCGATACTATTACCTTGTCAGCAAATACAATTTATCAATGAGTCAAATGCTGACTGAAGTTTTTCATATTAATTGTCAGTCCATTATTTATACACTGAATTGACGACGGATTTTTCCGTTATTCCCCGATCATGACAAGGAGCACACGGCGGGTGTGACCGGTCGGCAGGGGATGCTCACTCCTCAATAGCACCTGATCCCACCTGCGGTATTTTGAAGGTCCATGTTTTCCCTGATCCTATTTAATAGTGTTTTATAGACTTTTGATCTTGGATACTGTTCGTTTTGAACACATGTTTCGTTGTTTCAAATCTTGATAAAATGTCTAGATCTTTTATTTCTTTTTTTCAGGATTTCTATAAACGAAAACGTGGGCCAAAAGGGCCACCCCCAACGACAGACGAATCCGGCAGTGTAAGTATATCAATAACCTCTGGTTTTCTTAATATTTGTATACACTTGTATTGAAAAAAAATAATCGCTATAAAAATATATTATACATGCAATATGTTGAATTTTATTCCAAACACTCTGAAACATTACAAATAACAACTTTTAAAGAGTACAACACATTTAGAACCCAATCTACAAGGTATTCCAATAAGCACACTTATATACTACAAATGAAAACACTTAAAATGATAGCATGTAAATGAATATTTGCTTTTAAAAGAAAGCAATATGATTCGGAATCTCTTTGATTAAGGTACACTTGTATACCGATTGATAGAAAACAACAGAGTCTCTAAGACTATTAGTCTGTTTTATATATGTTCAATTTTTCAAGTTCGGAGATTCCTCATCAAGGCCACCACCACGTGGATCAAGACCACCACCATCGACCACAGAAGCCACAGTGGTAAATATGTTAACATTTATTTGGTCTCTAAAAGTATGATTTATTTCAAAATGTAGTCGTTCTTACTTTTTTTAAAGATAATTTTCAGTACAGTCCATTTCCCTTTTTTCTTAGATTTTTAAATGATAAATATTTTAACAATATTTGGTTCACTAAAAGTGTGATGTATTTCAAAAATTTCCTTAGCCTACATAATTGTATTGTTCCCGTTCTATATGTTTATAAAGTCTATTTTATTTTTATTTTTAGGAAAAGCGAGGACGCAGATCAAAGCCGCCACCAACTGACGAATCTCGTGGTGTAAATATAAAAATAATTTCTCATTTCCTTATTACTTATACATGTTGTATAAACTGTAAATTTATTGACAATAAGTAACCATGATGAAAATATAATACATATATAAAGGATCAATTCTTTAAACGTTCAAATAGCATGATGAATTACTGCTTTTTACAGAATACATGTTTCTACTGCATCTCAAAAATTAAAATGGAACACTTTCCTACCACTATACGGGAAAAAAATCTGTTTAATTGAATTGTTTCAGCCTCTTCAAATGATTCATACATGTTCATTTTTTTTTCAAGTTCGGAGACTCCTCATCAAGGCCACCACCACGAGGATCAAGACCACCACCATCGACCACAGAAGCCACAGTGGTAAATATGTTAACATTTATTTGGTTCTCTATAATATTTCAACATGTACTTTTTGTTGTTTTTACCCTATCTATTCCTGTAAGATAAAAAAGGAAGAAGGCAAAAAAAGGAAGAAGGCAATAAAACAAACAGATCTCTTTCATAACTTTTAAAACTATTTTCTTAACCTAAGTAAATGTTTATCTAAGGTTAATTGTGTTTATAATTCTATTTTATTTTCATTTTTAGGAAAAGCGAGGACGCAGATCAAAGCCGCCACCAACTGACGAATCTCGTGGTGTAAATATAAAAATAATTTCTCATTTCCTTATTACTTATACATGTTGTATAAACTCTACATTTATTGACAATGCGTATCCATGATGAACATTTTAAACATGTATATGGGTAAAATTTAAAAATGTTCAAATAACATGATGAATTACTGCTTTTTTACAGAGTATAATATGTTTTTAACTCATCTCTTCAAAAAGGCACACTTTTCTACAACTTGATAGAAAGAAAGATTCTGTTAAATTGAAATGTTTCAGCCTCTTCAAATGATTCATACATGTTCATTTTTTTCAAGTTTGGAGACTCCTCATCAAGGCCACCACCACGAGGATCAAGACCACCACCATCCACCACAGAAGCCACAATGGTAAATATGTTAACATTTATTTGGTTCTCTTAAAGTGTGATATAGTTCAAAATATTTACATTGGCTGTGTTTTTCTACTAAGCCAACTGTGAAACTGACTTAAATACCATTTTCTTGCATTAACGTGAAACCACAATAAGGCTGCAGCGACGTTTGTAAACAAATAACGATATAGGGCAGTGAGAAATGCAAATACTGAGTATATTTTAGTGCTTCCAAAAATGAATAATGTAAATATAAAGAATGTTTTTAAGTTTAGTGTGAATTATTGTTGTGTAAATCACACAGACTTGCAAGTAGGCATATTTTTTATGAAGCGCTACACCCTTTTTGATATATGCCTATATAATATATGACAAGTAGGTGTAATTTAATAACCAGTAACTCGCACAAAATTTAAAAACATTCCTGAAAAGTAGCCTTTGGTGATTTACTCAATCTATTCATGTAAGATAGAAAGAAGGAAGACAATAAAACAAATACATATCCTTAATATCTTTTAAAACTAGTTCCTTAGCCTAAGTAAATGTTTTGTTCACAATGAGTTTGTTTATTATTTCTATTTCATTTTCATTTTTAGGAAAAGCGAGGACGCAGATCAAAGCCGCCACCAACTGACGAATCTCGTGGTGTAAATATATAAATAATCTCTCGTTTTCTTAATACTTATACATGTTATATTAACTTTAAATTTATTGACAATAAGTTTCGATGAAGAAAGTATTATGCATCTTTCATCGGTAAATTTTTAAAATGTTCAAATTACATGAAGACTTACTGCTCTTTAAAGAATACAATCGCATCTCTTCAAAAAGGCACACTTTTCTACTTGCTAGATAGAAAAGGTAGATTCTGTTTAATTGAATTGTTTCAGCCTCTTTAAATGATTCATACATGTTCAATTTTTCAAAGTTCGGAGACTCCTCATCAAGGCCACCACCACGAGGATCAAGACCACCGCCATCCACCACAGACGCCACAATGGTAAATATGTTTACAATCACTTGGTCCTCTGAAATAGTTCAAAATGTACCCTTTGTTGTTTCCTACCCTAGTGTTTCTGCTTGAAAGGAAGACAGTTAAGCAAACATATACCTTTAATATCTATTAAAAGTATTTCCTTAGCTTGCTTAAGGTAGGATTCTTCTCTGGTTTCTGACTAGATGGAATATTCAAAATACATTTGTCGATATGTCTTACATATTTAGATGTAAGAGATTTAAAAGACCATATTTTTCTTTCCTCAGCACAATTATACAACTTTAAATAGAAATGGTAAACTGTGTTTGAAAACTAGCAGGGACTATGTATTTGGCGGAATGGTGGTGTATGAAAATATCTTCTTTTCTGCCTCTCAAAATTATTATAGAACATTGAATTTAGTAATATTTTTTACGCAATCAAAGACTAGACGAAATTTTCAAATGTAAGTTAAATTAATAATAAGGGACTAAAGTTTCAAAATATATCAAATAAATAAGATTTTTCACACATACTAAATCTATGTTTGCTCTTAAATGCTTCAAATCTAAGTACAGATTTGAGCCAAACATCAATAAAAAGTGTTATTTCTCTCTTAGTAAACGATCAACACTTTTTGTTTTTGTATCATTTTGTACCTTTATGTGACAACTTTACGAGATAAGAAAATTAGAAAAAGTTAAATATAGGAAGCATATAAAAATAACTAATAAATCCTAAAATTTTAAGAAAAGCAGAGGAAATTCGGATTAGCAAATATCCATTTCATTTAAATCATCCATGTCAATTTGGAAATATCATCTTATAGGTCATATATGGTAGTATCTGTTTGTGCAAAAAGAAAATATTCAATCTTTTGAATTACAAGCAGGGATTGCATGATTGGAAACACTAATTTTTTTTATTTTTAATGTCCAGGAAAAGGGTAATGATCTTGACCTGACCTTGCCTCTAATATTAAACGTCAAATTCAATCTCACTGATACCATAACTTAGTGATATTGTCCTCTTGATTCTGTGAAAATTTCATTAATTTTTAAATACAAGAAATGTGAAAAGAATCCTACCTTAAGTAAATTTTTTGTTTCCCGTTATGTTTATAAATTCTATTTCATTTTCATTTTTAGGAAAAACGAGGACGCAGATCAAAGCCACCACCAACTGACGAATCTCGTGGTGTAAATATAAAAATAATTTCTCATTTCCTTAATACTTATACATGTTAATTATATAAACTTATAATTTATTGACAATAAGTATCGATGAGGAAAATAGTATACATTTATCAGAGGTAAATCTTTAAAATGTTCATAGGCCTATAACATGATGTATTCCTGCTTTTTAAAGATTACAACATGTTTTACACATCTCTTCAAAAAGGCAAACTTTTCTACCGTTAGATAGAAAAAAAGAAAATTCTGTTAAGTTGAAATGTTTCAGCCTCTTCAAATGATTCATACATGTTCATTTTTTTCCAAGTTTGGAGACTCCTCATCAAGGCCACCTCCACGAGGATCAAGACCACCACCATCGACCACAGACGCCCCAATGGTAAATATGTTAACAATATTAAATATTTCAATATGTACCCTTTGTTGTTTCCTACTCTTTCTACTGCTATTATATATAGCAAAGAAGGTAAAAAAATATACAAATTTCTTTATTTTTTGGGAAAAAAACATATTACTTGGGACTTATATTTTTTGTTCCACATAATGTTTATAAATTCTTTTTTATTGCCATTTTAGGGTTTTTATAAGCGAGGACGGGATGGATCAAGGCCAAAACCGACTGACGAATCTGGGGATGTAAGTATATACTTTATTAGTAATTAACTTCTAGGTTTTCTTAATACTTACATTAACTTTAAATTTATTGACAAAAAGTATCGATGATGAAAATATATATGATTTATTATAAATTATAAATTTTGTTTTAAAATACACATAAAAATGAGATCATATTAAATGAATTACTGTATCTTGTTTGAATGATAAAACATGATTTATTACTGTACCATTTCCAAAACGATAAAATCATATTAAACTAGAATGAAAATTGTCTGTATTAATTGATCCATTCTTATCAGTTTTGTTTTTTTCTTTCAAGTCTGGAGACTCGTCAAGGCGGCCACCACCATCAACCACAGAGGCATCAAAGGTAAATATACTTTTATATAGAGGTAAAGGTAAATACAAATGTTAAGGGTGTAAGATATCGAACTGAGACTATCCCCCTATTTGATTTCTGAAATATTTGGAGATAAGGAACAGAATTCAGGTTCAAAGATCAATTGAAAAATACAAATATGGAGCGGAGCAAACACGGACCTAAAAAACATCAGAGGTGGGATCAGGTGTCATGGAGAAGTGAGCATCCCCAACGTCAGGTCACATCACCCTTTGCACCTTGGTCATGATCGGGAAAATCCGTCGACAATTCATTATGTAAACAATTGGCTAAAAAGTAGTATGAAAAAATGTCAGTTAGCATTTGACTTAAGGGGTACCGACCCTCTGATAAGAGAGATAACTTTCCAAGTACAAAATATGAATACTTCTCATAGTTTTCTTTATCAGAGTTCCCCAAGGGAGCCATTTGATGAAATTAACATATGATGGAAACATTACTTTCTATTTCTTTTGCCAACTTCATCCAAATTGTTTTATTATTTATATTAAACAAAAAAAAATACATCTAATTTCAAAAGCCTTATAAATCGAAATACAGTAGTTGTAACTTTTTAAGGACTATTAAAAATGGTTAAATGTTTTAAGTACCAAATAGAGAATTTTTATTAGTATTACATTTTTAAAAGAAAAATATATTTAGAAGAAAGATGACTCCTCCACATTGATGTGTTTTTTCTTACAACTATATACAACATTGTGCCATTCTGACTTAGGAAGCAAAGCTTTATTACCGGCATGTTATCTAATGATTTTAATACATATCTCATACTATTTTTCATCTGAAGCTGCTACTATAGCTGTTGATGAAATCAATGTTGAGAAGTTTACAAAAACAATAAAGAGCAGAGGGTTATACGTCCTTAAGGATAAATTGTATTTGCTGACAAAGTCATTGAATCGACCATAGAACAAAAGAAATAAGGACTAAAAATATTCTTGTTTCATCATCCTGTTCGTCAATAACTCACCTCTTTTAGAAATTGTTCATACGTAGGACATGCTCTTCCATATTGAATCTAACAAAGGTCAATATCCGTTTTTTTTAAATCATCAGGTTATTTACTTTACATTTTTAATTTTTTTAAAATTATTTATCTTTTTTTAGGGAGGGGGGTACAAAAATCTAATACTCAGTTATATAATGCGTAGTTTAACAACGCATTAGAAGTACATTGTAACAGCTTAGCAATTGTTTAATAATGTGACCACAGAGTGTACGAAAGGATGACTTTAAATAAGGTGTTTGACATCTCTGTTACATCAACTTATGTGTGTGTAGCCTGCCTTGATCTTGGTTTATATTTGGTTCGTACTCAGAGCAAGTTCTTAATTATTTTTAATTGAAGGATAGAAACACCATGGGCAGGTGATATCAAAATTTGTCAACATAGAGGAGGAAAAGTTCACCTGCAATAAAATAGATTTTTGCATTTGCCTACCGACCAAAACATTTTTTAAAATAGATTGTATCACGTTTTTTCTGCTTTTGAAACTGGTTTCATCCTAAATGCTTTCTTAAAAAAATATTTTTCTATAATAACAGTTAAAAAAGAGTTTTTCTCTGTTTAAAAAGAAATAAATTATTTTACAAATATTTATATAGTTATTTCTACTGGTATAATATGATCATTTAATAAGTGATAATATATTCTTTTTTAGCGTAATATCAAACAAGAAGAGGAAGGTGGGTGTGATTTATACACGTGTATTCTTTTTTATTTATAAAACCTGTATTATACCAAGGACTTTTTTCACGGAGTGGCGATATCATTAATTGCATTGAATGATCTAATAATCTTTGACCCCTGCTTCAATTTTGATTGTTATATTCAGCCTTCAAACATTTAAATTTACATCTATTTATCCGTTAAGTATAGTTATTTTTTTTAGATAAAGTAACCACATCATAAAAATGAAAATGAAGAAAATATTTTGGGAAAAACTCTTACAATAATATAACCCCCCCCCCATTTTTTTTTCTTGGGGGGGGGGGGACTGTTCATTTGACAGAGGTCATTCATACTTTATTTCTTAATTATTGAAACTTCTAAATAAACAAGTCTGAAGACTAATGCAATCAGTGTTTGTATTCAGCTTTTTGAACCCTTTATTTCAGACCTCAGTATTCTCAGACGTGTTTTGGAGGAGTACGTGGATGAACGAGACAACTAGATTGAATTTCAGCTGCGGTTTCATCGGAAATACAACGAGATCATGTTAATTTATCATTAATAGGTCTCCTTTTTTCTATTGTGAACAAATCGTAATCTATTTTCAAAGTTACATTTTTTTCTATTGACTTTTTTCTGTAGAATAAACACTTGAATCGAAATGATTGGGGTTTTTTTCTCTATGGAGAGATGTACGTTTCAGTAAGAAGACTGTTTATAAGAGGGAAGAGATATATATCAGTTTGATAACATTTTGACATGTAAAATAAAAAGTGAAAACAAAATGAAAGAAAAAAATCGAAATTTAAAAAATAGATAGAATGCAAATATTAACAAGAGGCCCACGGGCCTTATAGGTCTCCTGAGTATCATGTAACAACTTTCGCACAATTGAATTCGGTTCATGTTTTAAACCAGTGGCCATGAAATTCACAATTTTGAAAGAGTCACCATTGCTTATCATAATTATACACTTAGCTTACTTACTCTAGTTACTTAATACCCAGAGGTAGATCAGAGTACATGTAACAAAGAAAAAATGCTCTTCCAACTTATAACCAGTTGTGCACCCAACCCCAAAGGAACCACTGACCCTGAGGCCACTTATTTCAAAATTTTCGAAATTTTATCATTAATTTTATTTCATCATAAATGGTTGATTAATACTCAAGAGCAGATTTCAAAGCATTAATTTATTTTCAGACTATGTACATGTAACACCCCCCTACCCCTGACCCAGGGGGCATGGAATTCACCATTTGATAGAATCACCTTTTTTCATCATTAGATATATATACTTAGATCATTGGCATAATACCCAGGTGCAAACGAAAAGATTTTCAAAGAATTAAAGTATTTTCACTATAGAATCAAAAGACTCCACTTACGCAAAATGGGTAAACCCCTGGCACAGCTAGGGGCCATGAAATTTACAAATCAGGTTGAGGCACTCTTGCTCATTATAACTATGTACTTAGTTAGTTTATTTAATACCCAGGAGCAGAGAGGAAGATTTTCAAAGAAATAATGCATTTTCACTATATAATCTATATAGCCCCGCCCTAACACCAGAACCCCTGACCCTGGGGCCATAAAATTCATAATTTTGGTAGAGTCACTCTTGCTCATCATAACTATGTACTTAGTTAGTTTATTTAATACCCAGGAGCAGAGAGGAAGATTTTCAAAGAAATAATGCATTTTCACTATATAATCTATATAGCCCCGCCCTAGCACCAGAACCCCTGACCCTGGGGCCATAAAATTCACAATTTTGGTAGAGCCACTCTTGCTCATCATAACTATGTACTTAGTTTATTTAATACCCAGGAGCAGAGAGGAAGATTGTCAAAGAAATAATACATTTTCACTATATAATCTATATAGCCCCGCCCTAACACCAGAACCCCTGACCCTGGGGCCATAAAATTCACAATTTTGGTAGAGCCACTCTTGCTCATCGTAACTATGTACTTAGTTAGTTTATTTAATACCCAGGAGCAGAGAGGAAGATTTTCAAAGAAATAATGCATTTTCACTATATAATCTATATAGCCCCGCCCTAAAACCCTGGGGCCATAAAATTCACAATTTTGGTAGAGCCACTCTTGCTCATCATAACTATGTACTTAGTTAGTTTAATACCCAGGAGCAGAGAAGAAGATTTTCAAAGAAATAATGCATTTTCACTATATAATCTATATAAACTTAACACCAGAACCCCTGACCCTGGGGCCATAAAATTCACAATTTTGGTAGAGGACTTAATGCTCATTACCTTCATACCAACAGTTTGACTGCTTGATGTCCAGAAGTAGAGAAGAAGATTTTTAAAGATTTCATTATTTTTTGTGGTTTTGGCCCCACCCCTCAGGCCCCAGGGGGGCGGGGACCATAAAATTCACAATTTATGTTTTCCTTCACCCATAAATCCTGTATACCAAATTTGGTTGGAATTGGTTCAGTGGTTTCCGAGAAGAAGCTGAAAATGTTCAAATGTTAACACACGACGCACGACACACAACACACAACACACGACGCACGACGACCGACGAAAACTGATAGCAATAAGTCACCTGAGTGACTCAGGTGACCTAAAAAGGAGGAAACGTCAATATACCGGGGGAATAAGCCTGAATATCAACATTAAGATATATCCTTTTATCAATTAAAAGTAGTTATTTTCATTCATATGTCGACTCGATATATTCCAGTAAACTTTAAATAAAAAATAATCACACATCTTTTTTTTTATATTTGGGTGTTTTACTGACTATATATGAAGTAGGCCGATTAACAACTAAACTGTATGACAAACGAGATAGCTTCAGTATTTCTATCGTGAACTTAACTTATTTAAGATGAATGTTGTAATATTTCACTTCTGTTTATGGTGCTTATGTCTCTGAACGATATCGCTACTCAAAAGTTTGCCATGAATACGATCATTTATTACACCGAGGCATTCTTATCAATTTTAAGTTGATGCTGAAGGGATTTTAACAACCCGATTTTAATTGGGCAATTTGTTAATTCTATGATAATTATTACGTATATATAATAACCTTGTTAGCAAATATAAAATATATTTGAGTCCTGGTTTTGCTAGCTTGTTTCAATAAATGTATGGAGAAAACGAACAGTATTATAGCTCAAAAGTCAATTCAAACAATACGAATCAGGAGCAGAGTATATACGGACCTTTATAACATCAGGTATGGGATCAGGTGCCATGGAGGAGTGAGCATCTCCTGCCGACTTCATCCACCGTGTGCTTCTTGTATTGCAGACAATGTACATTGGAATTGTATCGACAATACAACTTCATGATAATGATTAAAGCGACTATGGATATTCTTATCGTTTTAGAAATTGTACATTGGTAGAACATGCTATTGCGTATTGAATCAACTGAGAGATATAAACGCCGTGTGCAGTTGAATAGGGTATTGCTGCATAAGCAAGGAAAATTGACGATTGATGAGTTGAAGTCATTCCTTTTTTCATCAACCTTTGTTTTTATGTTATCATTAACGTATTTTTTATTCAAATATTCACATGAATGAAAATAACCATTGTTATTTAACAATCGTCAATCCTCAACTTCCCTTACTTAGGCCGCAATATACCTTCATCACCTGCATACGGAGTTTATATATCTCAGTTGATTCGATACGCAAGAGCATGCTCTTTGTATGAACAATTTCCAAAATAAGGTAAATTATTGACAAACAAGTTGATCAAACAAGAATATCAGTAGTCTCGTTTAAAGTCATCATTTCGTTAGTTCTATGGTCGATAGAATGACCTTGTCAACAACTTAAATACAATTTATCATTGAGACAAATGCTGTCTGAACAAAACAGAACGAGTAAAAAACGAAATGTTCTAAATATCGTTTGGGGAACATAAAGGGACAATGAAATGTAAAGTCACAAAAATGCACAAAAGTCCATTTCACAATTGTTGGAAGAGCCCTTTGACATTCAGTGTAAAAATAAATAGTCCTTTAATTTGTATGAAAAAAGTCAAACAGTTTGAGTTAACGAAAGAATGTTTTTGAAAACTATGTCATTGTATCATCCATAGAATTTTCAATTTGTTGACCTTAAAGGATATTTCATAAATTTTAGCTTCCTTTTTTGTTCCTTGCCTCTCTTTTTAAAAGTTAAAAAATCTTCGAAAATCAATATACTAGCGATTGTTTTTCTTAGTCCATTGCATTTCATGATATACGGAGATAACGAACAGTATTCAAGTTCAAAGGTTCGGGATATGAGTTTACGCGGACCTCTTTCACATCAGAGGCACCACTTAAATTTACTGTTGATTTTGTGCAATCACATGACGCTGTGATCCAACTTTCCATATCATCACACAGGCCCCTCTCTGAAAATGATGACGTAGTTCACAAATATATTACCTTTTCTTCCGCATCAACAAGGTACTAAATAAAATTGCTTTGTTTAATGGATAAATGTATTATAATTGATCCAAAATATCTTCTCCTAATATATTTTGCTATTTGTAAAGTGTTATATAATAAACTGAATGTTATAACATTATCTAAGATCCGAAGAGCCCTTGACGTGCGCTGACAATCTGGTAGAACGACGCAAGTCAACCAGATGCGATGCGGTTCTTCAGATCCAGAAAACGTTATAATGATATATATTTCAAGAGAGGTTTTTTTTTTTGGTCACCATTTACGCCTTCTTTTTAGTCAAAATCAAATATGAAACAAGTATGTCATAATCTCTGGGTTTTTCTACAGGTTTTCAAAATCAAAGGGATTTATCGAATCAACGAAGGAATGAAAATGATTATTGTTTATTTATTTTAATATACATGATATTGTCTCGTCTTTATATCTAAATGTTAAGGCCTCCACAAGAGACTTTTCAATAGAAGAAATTTGTCTGTTATTGTTATCAGTGGGAACAAGCAATATGCCCAATACATCAGACATTACATAGGAACAATAATTACAATCTGGGATTTTCATGTAAGGCCATACCAATAAAAACTAGTATTTAAACAACACTAACTTAAAATCCCCGCGCCATGGGTTTTTTCTGTTCCATTTCCGGTCTATTTATCGCACTTTTTTATTCTCAATTGAAAAAAAAATAACGTCAAATTTTGCTGTGCTAAAAATTTTATCTACATCATAATTTTTATTTAAGATTACTTTGTTCCAAATGTACAAGAAATTAAATTGGTGTAGTTTAAAACTAGAACTTACCTGGGTTTTCACTACTGCCACAGCATTGTAAGAACTGTAATATTGGCTTTCGTTTTCTACCAATGATGTTAATCAAACTACTCCTTCTTTGCCTTACCGATGTTGTTGGAGTCCTGTGAAAGTCAGCAACTTCCGTATGATTGGCGGTAAAATTGACCCGAAAACATCCATACCTGAGGCTGTAGAGGTATTTTAAAAGTATTTTTGAACTGAAATCATTCTGTATAAAATAGCAATGCCAAAATGAAAATCTGGTAATTTTTTAACTATCACTGATATGATGCAAACAACATCCTTTCAACAATAACATCATTTAAATATTACACCTGTTTGGTCAGTATCGTGGTACCACGTTCAGAAATGACATCATAAAGAAGAAGGTCATGTTTCGACACGTGCCTCAACCGGACGGGACAGTCAAGGATGAGATAGAATATGTCGATTATAATGCGGTAACAAATTTAATCTTGTGTAATTTAAATATTATTTTAAAACTACACATTAATAATCTTAGTTCAATAAATGCATCTTTGATTTTATGGATTTCAGATGAAATGGTACGTTATCAGTGATGGCAACTGCACAGAACATGATATCAAATTTCCCATGCCTGATCCGTGTGTCCCACGTGAGTAATATTCTGACGAGGTCCCGGCATCTGTCTGAGGAAAGGTTGGACATGACATGCATGTGTGCGATCCTAATCTATGTAAGACTAATTTGTCCATTCTGCTTCAAATATTTTTAAATGTGAAAATAACTATAAAAAAATACGTCCTCAAAATAACCAGGAAAATCAGGTCAAGAAAAGAGATTTACTATGCATGTCTTACTAAAGTGGTATCCGTTATTCATAATTACTTTTAGATAAACGTCCCAGTAAAACTATTTTTTAATTAACTTACTTGAATATGGCAAATATTTTTTATTAATACATTTTTTGCATGAAGCCAATGCTACTTACACTGGGGATTCCGTGCTGGGAGAGGAAGGGCATGCGCAGGTCCGTCTACATCATTATAATCTGGATTGGATGGACTTCCGGGGCTACAATATCAGAATTGCTACGGATTCGCGCACCTGTGACGTCATAATGGAGACAGATTATGGAGACGTAGATGGGGGTACAAGTCATTTTAGTTTGTCCTGGCGCTTTTCTTTGTAAATCTTCAATTTTAGTGTAATTTATATTAAATTTTAATGTTTTTAATGGAGATATATTATTCCCCATTACAGCAAAAGCACTGTACACGTACTTTTTCTCTGATCACGTGTCACACATAGAAGACTACCGTGTCTTTGAGCTACCTGCTCCATGTCGCCATTTTATGCCGGTAAGTCATTCTGAGGAGATCATAAAAGCTTTCAATTAATTTTTCATGAATGAATAAAGGAAATTCGTTTATAAATTTGAATGAACAAATGTTTACTTGCATGAAAACATAAAATCAAATAAATTATCTTAAGACTTTGTAAGCAGTGATATCTATTGACGACGCGTTATAAAATTGCAGCACAATATTTCACTTTATCTTTACAATATCCATTGTTTTAACTTTTTTTCATTATGTTTACAATTATTGCAGAAGCATAACTAGTTGCCAAAGGTGACAGAGGACATTTAGTGTGATACATGTGTATGTGACATAAAATAAGCATCCGTGAACATGGAATTTGTTATTTCTCTATCTAAACCTTAGAAAATTGATTTTTGTTGAATTCCAAAAAGTAAAAGTTTCACTTTTTGTTATTTCTCTTGTCTAAAAATCATGTTTCAGAATCTCCATTTAAATATAATAGATATAAATGTTGAGCATTGATAAAGATGGGACTAATAATTGGCATTTTTGTTTTAAAAACATTTCGGAAACAATGCTTATTTGAATGCTACAATAACCTTTTTCAAAATTATTTTAATCATCTAGGTGAAAATGGTTTTTTTCCACCTCCACTCTAAGGAAAAAGAGTTTGATATTCAGCATAACAAAAGTATGGTCATGTAACTAAACAATAAAAAAAACAATCGGATTGCTTTAAAAATTGAACAAGAAATCAAATTTGGGCTTAACAGCCTCTTTTCCAATCGATGTTTCATACTATGCATAATGTTTATGTGAACCATTTAAATGCCCTCCTTGAAAGTCAAACAAACGTCAACATGTTCAATGACAAAAAAGTCAGAATGTTTATATTAATTAAGCATGATTAAGGGTGAAAACTCAGATATTCCTATGAGGTTCCATGTAAAACGTTATCGGCACCATATCCAAATATCAACAGCAAATGCTGCCCAAGATGTCAAAGAAAGGTACGTTTTAACTATTGCAATCATCCCGGTATATCCAAAATGGCAGCCATAACCAGGAGAACGATACCTAGGCAGATACAAATGACGCAACAATCACTTCCAGAAGTAGGTTTAGTTGATGCTCGTCTTTTCCTGAAACAAAAAATAATTTTCTGTTATCTATGAATATATGCACTTTATTGTATATTAAACATAAGCTATATTTTTTTTCACATACAGTTGGTCAGTTTTTCCTAGGGTTTTCCAAATGATATATACTGCTTGGTGTGTCTACTTTAAAATTAATCATATGGAGATAACGAACAGTATTCAAGATCAAGAGTCCATAAAAGAATACAAAATTGAGGAAAGAAATATTGGAGGAGGGATCAGGTGCCATGGAGGAGAGAGCATCCCCTGCCGATCGGTCATACCCGCTGTGTGCTCTTTGTCATGATCAAGAAATAACGGAAAAAATCCGTCGTCAATTCAGTGTACAAATAATGGACTAACAATGAGTATGAAAAACGTCAGTCAGCATTTGGCTCAATGATAAACTGTATTTGCTGACAAGGTCATTGTATCGACCATAGAATATATGAAATGATGACTTTAAACCAGACTACTGATATTCCTGTTTCATCAACTTGTTTGTCAGTAATCTACCTCGTTTTAGAAATTGTTCATACGTAAAGAATGTTTTTCCGTATCAAAGACTGTATATAGGACTTTTTTGATCTCATGATTTATTTGTATAAAATTAATCAACTGAGATATATAGACTCCGAATGCAGGTGATGAAGGTATATTGCTGTATAATTAAGGGAAGTTGACGGTGGAAAAGTTAAAATCGTCACGTTTATCATAGAGCTTGGTTGTTAGTTTACCATTAATGTCTTTTTCAAGTAAAATATCCAAATATGAATCGGACTCTGTTGTATCTTTTAACTCAAGCTCACCAGTGTATATCGTATCGACATAAGAATGCAAATCACCATGATAAATTATCATGGTGATTTGCATTCTTATGTCGATACGATAATTAAATTGACAATACGAATGAGGTAAATAGATATGAATGAAAATTTATTTTATATATATCAAATATATTTTTGAATCATCAAATGTTTTGATAAGTCTTTAAAACTGCAGCCATGTTATTATGAACTGTGGGTGTGACGTAAAAATGGAAGTTACACTGAATCGAGGAATGACCATATCCCCACATCCCGTTTCTGAATATACACGTGATCATGTAATCATGCCAAAAAAGAAGAAAGTCTTGTTTAACCTTGTGGTGATTAGTGGCGGTAAATCGCCGACAACAGTAATTCTCCCACTTCCCTTGTGTGTACAGATCATTTACATTCCGTAAGACAGCTCCAATCTATATTTAAATGAAATCGGTCGATCTCAAAGTTCAGGGAAACTGCATTGGGGGATCTGTAACCTAATTTGTTTATGTTCTCTTAGGATTTTCTGTAATTTAGATCCTTCGTTCTCGAGAGTGGTCAAATATGAAGATTTGTGGGAACTTATATCAAACTTTATATAATGCTCTATAAATCTGTCATCTGCATACTGATGAGTCGATCTGTTCTTTCAAGGAGATCAAAAATAATTAATAGGCTAAATCGAGTTTTGAGGCAACGATCCAAAGCATGCAGATATAGTGTACTATGTTTGTACAGGGAGGGAAACACTAATGATCATAACACTTGGACATAGTCATTCAATCTTCTTAGCGATTTAAAACCGAAATTTTTCATATATAATGTCAAAGAAATAAAACCAAAAAATTATGCAATATAGATTATTACATGAAAAACTTTATCAAAATAAATTTCCAGTTTCTTTTGGCTAGTATATATATGAAAGCATGGACGTACACACCATGACATTTTATGGTGAAATATAGTGGTCTTTGTGGTTCTGGGTGTTTACAATTTACTTAAATTCAAATACTTTCCTTGAACTATATTTTCTTAACACAATACGGAATTATCAACAATAATTATCATTCATTTAAAAGCAGCTAATCATTAAAGTTTGACAGAAATTAATTTAATAAATCCAATTACAGACTAAAAAAATTAACATAAAATTAGCTGCTCTTCGTTCATTTTTTGCAGAATCTAATATTGTAAGCTTGTTCTTTTGTGCGAGAATCAGTTTTCCCTTCCCCGTCAACAAATCTATATATAGAAATCACGTCATTGTCAATTCTCCTTGTGTGGCTTACCCATTTAATAAGGCATAGTACTGAGGATCAATATATATATATATACACGACACACCGAAATTATAGATATTTATAAGCATTGTACTTCTTTTCTAAATTTTCCTTGGCTTTCAAATACAAAAAAAGATCTCCTAAGCTAGTTCTTCTAAAACAAAACCAGTACAGGCTATTTGGAATTTCTTAAAACATCGAGGACTTCCGAAAGATTAATGGAGGCTTACACTAGGACTTCACTTCCGGCATACAATCTTAATGTGTCATCTCCCGAGGGAGATGACAATAATACGATTTTTTCATATATTTGATTCCAAAAAATTATGCAAAAGATTTCTCTATGAAAAACTTTATCAAAATAAATTTCCATAGCTTTTGACGAGTACACACCAGACATTATATGATATAGTATACATGTAGAAACTTAATGAAAATCGATAGAGATCTTATAAGTATTGTATTTACCCCACCTCTGATGATTTTTCTACGAAATCCTGGCTTACGATTGGTTGAAGACTGTCACGTGAAGGCGGTGGATTACTTATACACGATCAGTTGTAAATCTATACACGGTCAGTTGTAAATCTATACACGGTCGATGTATTAGTCACAAACACAAACGTGACGTCATAATAGGCACAGTATAAGCGTGATGAAGCATTTAGAAGAGAAAACCATTTATAAACTACAGATAAAACGTAAATGTTTCATCGGTGGGGTAAATTCTTTACATAGTCTTTTAGTGACAGGGTATGGGATGATACCTGGTTTCATACCTGACTCGGCTCCGAAACGCCAGGTATGAAATTTACTAACCAGATATCATCCCATACCCTGTCACTAAAAGACTATGTAACTAATAATACCCGTAACATACAAGACCCAGTACCAAAAATATGTTTGACTACAAGAAAAATGTTACATCACAACTCTTGGTGTATTAATTTGTTAATCAATGGAATTTAATTTTATATATTTTTACATAAAAAATCTTTAAGCATTGTGCAGTATTTTTTAAACTATGAAGTTGTTCCAATGATTTTTCTTAATTATGATTCACCCAAAGGATCAAAAGGGAGGACGATATTGGACGTAGAGAAATGAATATTCTTACTTTAATGGTGTAGTTTGTGCCATACTTGCAGTCTTATAAGCAATTGTTGATTTTATTTGCAGAAACCGCTGCGCATTCATGAGAAGGCATCTTTAAAAAGAGAAACTAGATTCTCTCATTAGACAACAATACCTGCAATTTGTCTTAGCCTCTTATCTAATTGTACTTGCCTTCATATTTTACAAAGGGTAAAGGAAGGGCTCTAATTCCAACCCCCTTTCTCTCGCATAATGAAAAGAACTCCTTTCAAAATATGTTTGGGCTTCTGTGACGTGAAAAATGTAAGATACTTTGGCGAACAAGGTTTTTTTTTTTAGTTTAAAAGAATTATTTTTTTAGCCTTAGTGAAATTCTAAATTCTTAATTAAATTCAAAATTTTAAAATCTTATTGCAAATCTATAAGCACTCTCAGTTATACCCCTTGCTGTGTTTTATAAGCTTTCTGACCCTCAGTTTTCCCATATAGTGTACATCACAATTCTTAATCCTTATTGCACGAAAATATCCAACCACCAATATCATTATTGCTCGAAAATATCCAACCACCAATAATATCCCCAAAGATGACATGCTTCTGCGACAAGTACAACATATGCAAGAGGAATACAGAGAACAAGATTTGTAGAACAATGTTAAACCCCCAATTATATATCCTCTGGTTGAAAATCGAAATTCAAACATTTAATTGCACATCTAAAACTATCCCCCCCCCCCCAAAAAAAAAATTAAAGTCCCAGGCTTTTGACATCACTGACAGCTGCTTTTTCAATAACTAGAGGTACTGTGAGCAATGCGCTCACTAATGATACGCCCATATGATTATAATGGAAAAGTTCATGTTTTCCTTTAGGAGACCTGAAATAAGTGTCAGATCAAAAAGTAAAATAGGATGAGCTCAAATGGCATTATGTAATAAAGAATATGTGGAAATATAATTATATTTTATTCAGTGGTATAGGAGGAGTTGCGGATAAGAGATGGGTACCCCAAAGCATAAAAGACGGACATACGAACAAACGGACGGACATCCCGATCACTTTTCAAGCAGGAACTCCAACATTTATTTACCTCGTCATTGATCATTTGCAAAATGATTTTGTTTAAAAACATTCTGAATGTAACACAAATACCATGACATTGATACTTGACAAGTTCTATGTAACAGTTTCGACAATCAATTGGAATTCTTCCCCATTAGTA